AGATATATGGAAAATTGACTTCATAACGAAATTGAAATCGTAAAGAGACGTTATGGTATTATTTTGAATATATCTCTAAATAGTATTTCAGAATATAGAACATTGAATCAGCCTATATTCTAAGTTGAGCCACAAAGAACGTACCCCGGGTGACGATGCGAACGTGGAATTAAGATAGTAAAAGCATTTTATCATTTCTGACTAGAAAAATCCATCAATTAAGTGAAATCAGCAGTTTCTAAGAAACTTTTCACATCTTCATTCGTCTGCTGTCAAGAGTTGCCATTTTCTAGAAAATATTGCATTATATTTTGCTTTGCACCACTCGTTATTTATTTCGTAATATATCATTCGCATATGACAAGTTGGCAACCATGTGTCAAAGATTTCTTTGTTAGGCAGAATAATAAATGGTTTACGTGATATACTAATATAAGAATAGATAGACAATAGGAGCGAATGAGTATCAATTATTTCTAAATAGTGAGAAATTGAAATGAATGCAATTCTGGTAAGCGCAAGATGTTGATTAGATAGGCAATGCTTAGCTGGAAATGAGTCACTTTTACTTTGGACTGTATCAACGTAATTCTGTGCAATACCAGTCGCTTCTTTGGCTTTTTAGGCGTGCATGTCACTCTGACCGGATACGAGGCGAAAGACGAGGCTGTAACGCAGCAGCCCATATTCCATATAGCTTCATTGGTTCATGGCATTTCAGTTCACAGTAACATAGCTCAGATCTTAGTTTGATATCAGTGCTTGTAAAGGCCTTATTCGGGGCGAAATTTGTGATAAAAGTAATTAAGTATTTATATAAGTATTTATCAGTGCAAAGTATAAACTTTGTAGCACATTTTTGGGCGCTCCAGAAGTATGTGTACCAATGTAGAGGTAACTAATTTTATTCGCCCACTTTACATCAAGTTGTGTAAGGTGTGATATTTACCTGGCTAACACCAAACTCGTAATGGAACTCAAATGAGGAAAATCGGAATAAAATTATGAACTAACCCTAACCTGGTACACATACTACGGGAGTACCCATTTTTCATACATATTTAAAAAAAAAAACTATTTTTTGTAAATTGAACGCATTTTTATAATGTTTGTAAAAATTGGCTCATGCTAAAATTATTGTTTCTATGCTTGCTTGAAAATATAATTGGTAACTGTTTGGGCCGAAAGTTAGGAAAGCTACTTTAAGAATAGATAACTAAACATAGCGAATGAGTATTGATTGTTTTCTGAAGTGCCAGATATGATCTTAGTATATATCAGTGAAAAGAGGGTTTGTAGTTTAGGCATATTTTAATGCAGTGGTTGGCAACCTTTTATGGCATGTCGCCCTCTTCTGGAGGGTTTTAGCACTCATGGTTTATCATTCAAGCGGTATTCAAAGTGTTGTTGGATTACGATATCAAACAATTCATGCGCAACAAAGTAAACATCCTGTGAAATAAACTTAACAAGCAATGAAACTGGGAAAAACGGGGAATTTTCTTGTGAAGGAAAATGCAAAATCAGTTCTGAGCCTAGCATTGTGACCCTCTCCGAATTCCTCTTGGAGGCCACGGACCCCTGGCTGAAAACCGCTGTTTTTAACGCATGTATGCAAAGGTTACTATTGATTCGGTAGCGAACACGTTTTGGCTAAGTTAAAATTTTGCAGTAGTGATAAAATGATATCAGACACTGGCATTTTTGAATGGCTATGACGCGAATCATTCAAGTGGTATTTAGAGTGTTGTTGAATTATGATATCAAGTATTTCATGCTCAATGAAGTGAAAGCACCACGTGAAATAATCTTGTCAATCAAGGAAACTAGAAAAACGGGGAATTTTCTTGTAAAGGGAAATGTAAAATCAGTTCTGAGCCTAGCATTGCGGCCTCTCCGAACTCCCTTATTTTGATAGCGAAGGCGTTTTAACTAAGTTAAAAGTTTGCAGCAGTAGTGAAATTATAGCAGGCATTGGAATTGTTGGGTGACTACGGCGAAATGTAATTGTGAATGCTCATAAGCGTGTTTGCTCGCGAAATTAAAAAAAAATTCTATTTGTATAATTTGAATAAGATTTGGAGGTCATTTGCGGTTACCAAGGTCATAGTGATACGTCATTCATAGTCAAGTGCTATATATATTGTCGCTTTAGATGGTGAATGGTGATGATATGGAGGTCATTTACGGTTGTCAAGGTCATAGAAATACGTCATTGATAGACATCTGCTATATATTTTGCTTGTTTGGGTAGTAAATTGTGAAAAACTTAGAGGTTCTGAGTTAAAGGTACAGGTGTAATGAATTCTTTTCGCAATGCAGAGTCGGAGTGATTTTTTTTTTTTTTTCAAAAAATGCGTAGTCAAGTTAAGCACTGTCGGGCCATCGCTGTAAGAGTAGAAATTGAACTCAATTGACCTCCATGCCCGCCATGCAAATTCAAATTTATGCAAATGTGCAAGCGTGGATGCCGACTTATCAATCGGAATTAAAAGAAACTATTATGGAATGAGTAACACATTGGTGGTATTGGGCCTGGAATATTCATAAGATTTACCTTTAACCCGAACATTGACTTCCTATTTTATTTCCGAAACAATGGCTAATCGGCGATTGAAATTTTATTAAACAATTCTGTATAGTCAGCCAGCTAATCAATAAGAATAGATTTAAAAAAAAATGACTTTTAACCCGAGCATTGACTTCCTATTTTATTTCCGCAACAATGGCTAATCACCAACACGACAATCAAAATTTAGCTAGACATTTCTGTATAGTCACCTAGCTTATCAATAAGAATCGATTTTTTAAAAATCAAAAATGAATTTAACCCGAGCATTGATTTCCTAGTTTATTTCCGCAACAAAGGCTAACCGGCGATTGAAATTTTAATAAAAAAATCTGTACAGTCAGTCAGCTTATCGATAAAAATCGATTTAAAAAAATCAAAAATGACTTTTAACCCGAGCATTGACTTCCTATTTTATTTCCGCAACAAAGGCTAACCGGCGATTGAAATTTTATTAAACAATTCTGTATAGTCAGTCAGCTTTTCGATAAAAATCGATTTAAAAAAATCAAAAATGACTTTTAACCCGAGCATTGACTTCCTAGTTTATTTCCGCAAGAATAGCTATTTAGCGATTAAAATTTTAATCAATCGTGTATAGTCAGCTAGCTTATCAATAAGAATAGATTTAAAAGAAAAAAGACTTTTAACCCGAGCATTGACTTCCTAGTTTATTTCCGCAATAATGTCTAATCATCAATACGGAAATTGAAATTTCAATTAAACAATCTTGTACACCTAGCCAGATTATCAATAAGAATAAATTTAAAAAAAATCAAAAACGACTTTTAACCCGAGCATTGACTTCCTTATTCATTTCCGCAATCATGAGTAATCAGCAATAAGCATACTGTAACTGTAAAATCGAATTTTAGGTCACTCAGATATTTTTAATACAGGTTGCCGAGCTGCACTTGTTCTTTTGAATTTACCACAATTGCACGCAGCATTCGACCCTTAACCCCGCCCCAACCCAAGGGTTGCGTAGAATGCTCACCCCCTTTTCTTGCGACCCCTAAATCAAATACACTATTTCAAACTAGACCAGTCGTTCTCAAATTTTTCAAGACGTCCCTTTTTCAAAATTTCTCAAGTCTCGCGCCCCACCTCAAGAATAACTAGCTAACAATAAGCTACAATTAACAGATAGTAAGACGAAAGTATGTTTTATTAAAAAACACGTTGAAAATACGAGGATGGGACGTTAATATCTAAAATAAAGAAATGTAAATATTCAAAATAAGGCGGGCAAGATCAAATCGAACAAGTAATTTTATTTTCAATTAGTTTACGTCCTCTCAAAAAATTGTAATATTCCAAATAAAGAAATGTAAATATCCAAAATCGGGCGGGCAAGATCAAATCTAACTTTTTTTTTCAATTTTCAGTTAGTTTACGCCCTCTCAAAAAATGTCTACGCCCCTTTATGGGTCGCGCCGTTGCCTTTTAAGAACCACTGTTCTACACGTTAATGTGAGCATTATGTAATACCCCACTCTGAGCCGAGCAATACGTTTCCTAATCGCCTAACCAGATTTACATCCGGGCAAAGGAACTGTCGTGCAGTCTAAATCCTAATAAGTAAACAATTATGTCTGTTTTATTTGTCTTTCTGCACACTATAACAAATGTATTGCTGTAACGTTTCGTCGGGCCGACTGTAGTTCAAATATACTTGTCTGAAGAGGTCTTACCTCGTCAGATGCAACCTTACAGAATTACATTTATGCTAGTTTATCGGAAGACTCTTGGATCTAATAGAATAGCTATATTTATTCTTGTTAATTAAGGCATCCTTGCATACGCACACGGATCCACTTGCGCAAAGCATAAAGCAAGGAAAGTTAGTTAGTCTCTCGTAAACTCCACTTATATTTATGTCTGTTTGTGGGGTATTACCCGAACTAATGAGTATTAAACACCATTAGACTATTAAGATGTCTTCTATGAGAACGACTTGGCTTAACTAACTATTGAGATAATATATCGAATAATTTCTGCTAGGGTTATTATCAGTGATGGAATTCAAAATATTAAGGACACAGGAGATGAATATTTTGTTATTCCTGCAGGAAAATCAGTAGAATAAAAGTTTAGCCACTATTTGAAATGTCTATATAAGCATGCTTATTCATAGCGCGATGAAAGGCGAACGATATAGTTCAGCAAGGTTCTTATTTTAACAATATTGCTCAAAGCAAGGTCACGAGACGTGGCTTGAACCATGTGACGGTCAACCGCTAAACCGCACATTTCTATTCATCACCTTGAAGAATATGTCTGTATACTGTATAGACATTAACAACAGGGGTGTACCCTTTTGAAATGTAAAAGTTTTGAAGTTTTTTCTAGATTCACTGGAAGTGTCTTTCACCAAGATAGGTTACAAATGAGAACAAAATAATGAATGAATTTTATTTCTGACAGCTTTTCGTACTTAATATGCGATTATTTAGCGTTTAAGTTGGATATAGACCATAGAATGGGCGAAAACACTTTGCTGCATACTTAGATATTAACTCGAACCAGCATTTCTAATCGAAAGAATTTACATCGACGCAAAATGAATTTATTCTACCGAAGATTATTCGTATGGATAATACTTGTGACGATTTGGAATATACAGTCATGTGTTGGGGATCTCCCTACCCGGAAATACGACGAATATATCGCCGGAAATGACGCGAAGTTGGGACTGACCAATGACAGCCTGTGTGTGAATTATTCTGGTATGTTTTTCCTATTTTATTTCGCTCTCATTAAGGCTAAATACAAGCACTTAATCCTATAGAGCTGTGAGTATATTCGAATGATCTTTTAGTTGTAGAAATCTAGAAGATAAACACACATCGCAACAAGGGTTGGACATCTTCGAATACCTGATGATTTCAAATTCGAATCGAATATTTTTTATGTATCGATTCTCGAATACTTCAAAGATATGCAGTTGTATTGACTGTTTTATTGCAATGGGTCCTTCAGACACATAAATTAGTGAAAACACGTAATCTATAACCCAGATAGTTCGCTAAGTGTTCACACACAGTAAGAAACTCATTCCATCAATGACTCACTCGGAAGAAAACGTCATATGTTAAAATTGCATTTACAAAGATTTTACATGAAAAAAAAAAGATTTTCATATTCGATTCGAAATGCCCGGTCCCAATTGTGACACAAAATTCAGTCCACCCCCTCCTCACTGTCTTAGGGTATAACGGAAGTACACATTTCATTTCCCACATGATAGCCAACCACAGTCTTGAAGGCGTTCGTCTTTTTTTCAACATAGGTATTGAACCCTCTTCTCCACGCCGCACTAAAACGGTATTATGACGTAAAAACTATGACGTCACGCTATTCCATTTTTTGATTTGAAGGAAAATGTGAAATCAACTCTGCCCCTAGCATTGTGGCCCGCCTCTAACCGCTCTGTGGCCCTTTTGGGGGGTCACTTGCCCACTGACTGGGAACCGCTGCTTTATGCATTATACAAGTACTAAAGTACAAGTGGTGAATTGAATTGTAAACATTTCCTGTGAACTCGAATGTTTGTTTCGTACGAATAATAATAACCGCGGAATTGCACGTTATAAACGAGGAAGTGACCTTGTTAACAAGGCTATGCAAATATATTGGTAAAAATTCAGAAAATTTACAGCTATTTTACAGTTACCGGGAGAAAGGGCACATTGGGGACAGTGTGGTGGCAAAAAACATGGGTAGGCAAGATTTTTGAACAGGGGCCAATACTTTGCTCATCTATACTAGCGGGCCATGTAGATTCGACGTAAAGTTTACATTTTATGAACAATATTTACAGTTTTACAAAAGCAAGAATGGTAAACAATACGCCTCGAGCCAACACCAAATTTAATCGCAATCCCAACAAATTCCTTGAGCTATATTTTAGATCAACATCAAAATTTGGCGTTAGTTTGGTTGCGGCAGCATCAGGCGGGCCAGATTGAATAACCCAATGGGCCGGATTCGCCCCGAGATTCTTAGTTTGCCAATGTCAGCATAAAACAATCATTCTCTATTGCATTCATTTACCTAGAATTTACTCCAAAATGCGCTTTTTTTACAATCAGTGAGTTTTTGAAACCGTGGCGTGGGTCTACATAAGCAAAATAGATGCTGCCAAGTTTTTTTGCATTTCAAAAAGGGGCGGGTTATCCAAACTGCAAAGATTGCCATTTAAAAGTAGATACAAAATGCTTTTCAATTCCTATTATGCGATTTCCGTTTTTATGAACTCTTCGTGTACGCATTATTTGCCATATAGTGGATACTACGTCCAGGAAACGAAAATGAGTAACTGAAACCTTAAGAAAACTTTTGTATGTTTTTTTGTTGAATCATTGTATCTCAATAAGCATATTTTATACAAACTGGCATCACATAGGTTTCTAACCTTTTATGGCTCGTTTTTTTTAACGAATGCTTTTAGCACGCATGCCCTCCTGTTTGTCATTGCAATAGTATTTATAGTGTTATTTTTGTTAGTCGATTCCAAATAATCCGATTGAGTTCAAACAATTCATGCTCAACAAAGTGAAATACCCGTGAAGCAATGAAACTGGAAAAAACGGGGAGTTTTCTTGTGAAGGGAAAATTAAAATCAGTTTTGCGCCTTGCATTGTACCCCCCCTCAACTGTTCTGTGGCCCCTTTGGGAGTCCACGGGCCCCCGCTTGGGGACCTCTGATTTAGCACATTCATGAAAAAACAGGCACTGGGGTGAAAATTGAATATTATGGAATGTCGTAATGGAATAGTGATATCATACTGCAAAATGTGTTGTCATAATGCAAACCCGATACCTCGTCACAATAACAATTATCGCAACTTCAAAACGTAATAAATACTGAATATTACATCATAATAAAAATATTTATGACGTAATAATACAAAACAGGACGTCATAATATCATTTGAAGGCATAGTAGGGCGTGGCGAAATATCCAACTAACCTAAATGGTAACATATTTTGTTAGCGCTGTAACCGTCATGCAATTTGGAATACCTCAGACATTTTAGTATTGCAAATGCAAATGCCGCCATGTACTGGTATAACTCCTCAAGAAATGATTCGGTTCACGAACTCAGCGATACCGGAAACAGGGCTATTAAAACGCTGTAAAGTATCTTGAATTTGCAAGTAGTTCGTGTAGAGAGAGAGTTTTGCAACGAATGTAATCCACAGCGTAAAAAGCGCTTTTTGCAATTTGTTATTTCTTCTATTATTAGAAGTATAATAAGTATTTTAGGGTAGTAATATCTATGATAATTATTTGGTTAGCCCCTTCTGCTAAATCAGAAGTATTATATGCTCACAGTGGGGATTTTAATCATCGAGCCAACATTTCAGTCATGAATCTCATTTCATTCGACGGCGCTCCACTCACTACTTTACTCCTGCCACTACTCTAACCATATGACGTACCTAAAAGGGTGCTCCCGTAGTGTGTGTACCAGGTTAGGGTTAGGCCATAATTTTATTCCGATTTTCCTCATTTTATATCTATTACAAGTTCAGGGACTGTCTGTGTTAGCCAAGTATAAATACACCCCTTGCCCATAGGTTTCAGTTTCTTACACAACTTGATGTAAAATAAGCGAACAAAATTAGTTATCTCCATATTGGTACACACACTTCTGGAGCGCCCTAAAGGCCAATCGCACCGAAACGCCGAAGCCGGCCCATCTATGCAGCAATCTTGACAAATAAACCTTTAAAAATTATTAAATTTACTTAAATTTTTTAACATTACAACGATCACGTATATTTGTCAGAAGTCGTCAATTTGTGTAGGTTACTCTATGACGTCACACACGATTCACGGAGTTATCAATCACTCAAATATAATGTTAAATATTATGACGTCATATTTGCATGACTGAAAGGCGGGAAATTATTCACAAAACCGCGGAACACCTTGCCCTGCGCAGTAAAGCTCTTTAATATTTGCTGAACGCAATTGATTATAGCTACATGCTGCCATTTAAGGCTTAAATGCCACACGGTCGTTTCCTTGTCTGATTGCCAATTTGTTTAGTTGGTGTTGCTTCGAACACTGTTCATAAAATGTAATTCCATTTTATAATAATGCGTTTTCTCCGAACAAAACTTTGAATTTGCTAAGTTACCGTATACTCATTAAACAATATTTAATTTTTCGATGTTGTTTTTTATATAAACGCCGAATCGAAACATATTGAAGTTTTTCCAACGACGGATTGTGTATACTTATTTATTCAACCCCCGGTTGGTCAGAAAACAGATAGCCCAACGACGTGCGCATATGTCCGATATCAAGTTCATAAACGACTGGTAACTGAGGTAGTGGAAATTGTGTTTGAAGTAGAGGAGAGATCGGGCCCAAAAATTTCAGCCCGTCCCGACTCAGGCCTGTGGATATTAAACCCGACCCGACCCAACTAATTAACTGGATTTGCAGGCCCAAGCCCGAAGCAAACTCGAAATTCCATATTTTATTTAGAAGTTCTTTGAATTGTCATTGCAAGAGTTTAGTACGGTATTCCTTAGTTTAGTATATATTTTTTATAAACGTATATTTATTTTAAAAAAAAGTCAGCGAGTCATTTCGGTCTCGGGCTTCAGACCTTAGCTCTAGTGAAGTCAAGTTTTCAACTTGCTAAGTAAAGGTCATCATTACTTGCTGAACTCGTATGATTTTGCAATATGTCATTTACCGCCCAAATGTCACATCTGTAGCAATATGAACATACGCATTTTATGATATGTTTCAATTCAAACGCCGAATCAAAATATTTTCAGTTGTCTCAACAATGAGTTTTACCTGATCCCATTGACTTGAAATGGTTAAAGTCTCGCGTGTATCGTCATAATGCACTAATATGAATCTAAAATTTAATATAGTTACAGCAAGATATTGGCACTTCATCGGCCACCATTAATTTCGCCCTGGAATAACTTTGTTTGAAGATGAGTCTTCTTTAATTCTGAGTAAGTGCGCATAACTTCTCAGAAATGAGTCTCCTTTGCTCCTGAGTTAGTACACATAAGTAACTTTGCTCAGAGATGAATCCTTTACTTCTGAGTAAAAATTCTCCTGAAAAATCATATAATTTTATGTTATCATTTCAGATGAAACAGGCATTGAATTCCAAAGGCTCGTAATCAATGACAGCTCGTTATACATCGGTGCAACGAACTACATCGTCCAAGTCGACTTGGGAGAATTTTCCATCTCAAATTTTGTCTCCCTTGGCCCTCATCAAGATGACCCTGACTGTTTAGCGCCATCTATATGCGGAACTGCATGCGGAAGTAGAAGATGCACGGATAATAGAAATAAACTGCTGATTCCGCACAGGTTTGAAGTTACATTATGACATAGATAGTGGGTGCCAGCAGGGTAATCCGTAATAATGCATGGCTTAAGTCAGGGATGGGCAAACTACCGCCCGTGGCCCGTCAAAGCATTAGTGTGTCTCCCTGCTCTCGGAGGAAGTTTCCGATGAAAAACTTCCGTTTGTGATATCCGCAATTGCAAGGTCATTTGACGACCTTGTGAAAATTTATTACTACTACATACAAAATTTAGATTTATGTTTAAACTTTGTATGATTTTAAATTAATATTAATATTTTTTCACCCCCGTTTCAACAATATACGCTACTTAAAGGTAACTACTATAATATATAATTATGGTGACCGTACATTTGAACCCACGTACATTTGAACCCATGTGTATATCCACGGGTTCAATCTATATGCGGGTGCTAAAACCCATGGGTTAGGGTTAGTATGGGTTTAACTATCCGTGAAACAAAAAAAATTCCATAGGTGCAATAGCATACAGGTGCAATTGTCATGGGTTCAAATGTACGTGGGTTCAAATGTAATGGAACCTATAATTATATATGAGTACTTTTTTTAATGCGGCACTCTGAGACAACTAGCCTAGTTGAAATAATGTCGCTGACAATCTAAAACGGTATTTTTCCTCTATGTCACTTTCTCCGTTATGAAGAGTTTGAAATCTTACACTAAATGTAGATATAGTAAGATCTTGGCACGTTTTAGTGAGTTTTTTTGGTGATTTTTGCATGTTTTAGTTGGATGAATGCAAATATCGATCAATGTGTTTGCACAATAAAAGTGTTTGTTTTGTATTCCACTGTTTACTATCCTTGGCACTATTGTGGCCCGCGAACAACACAAAAATAATAGTGTGGCCCGCGATGCCGACAACCCTGGACCACCTTGTGATAAACAGATACTCGCATCCGTTTATAGAATAGCTAAAAATAATTTTTCGATTTTTCTTCGTGTTTCTTTGCCACAAAATGAAAATTTTAAAAATTAATTGACTTGTTCAGGAATCAGCTCATTGCGTGCGGAAGTATATACGCTGGAACATGCGACATATTGGATTTAAATAATGTCTCACAACCTTACATACCGAAACCAGACCGGGAAAGGCTGAAATGCAATGGAGATGCGTCCCAGGTGTGTAAAAATAGTTTTTTTTTAAACATTGATAAATTGAATATTTCAGAATGTATTGGAAAAAGGAATTTGTTCGATTTTAGCAACCCTAGCTAACAGCTTCATTTCCGATCTTGTTCAAAATTTCATGCTTATGTGTAAAACGAGGCGATGTAGAACATTTAATAAAAATATTAATAAAATAGACATTACTATCGATTCGATGTGCTTACATATTCTCGCACAAAAGATCGAATCTTGGCTCTTAATCGGTGATAATGGGGAGTACTGGTTCTAAATCTTTGAAATTTGATCGATATCTTGTTTTAACATAAGTTATTGTCAGAAAATATTTACGACGACCCCCATAGAGTCCTTTGCGACCCACTATGGGTTAGGGGCCCCAGTGTGAAGGGCCCTGTACTAGGATAAAAGGTGCAGGAAAAAGTAAAGGAAAAAAGGTACCGTAGTGTGTTAACCAAGATGGCGGACACCGGAAAGTAGTATGCGCACCAGGTTAGGGTTAGGCCATAATTTCAGTTGCAAATACTACGGGAGTCACTTGTCTAGTCCCCGAACTGGTAATAGAACTAAAATACGAAAAATTGGGATAAAATTATGGCCTAACCCTAACCTGGTACACATACTATGTTCAAGTGTCCGCCATCTTGGTGCACATACTACGGAAGCAGCCGATAAAGAGAGAAATATTGTACAATGAACTAACATAAATTTTAGTTATGGACAGGATAATACTGGAATCTATATTTTCCAATTTCTAGATCACAAGGTCATCAAATGACCTTGCCATTGCGGATATCTACACGAGCGGAAGTGACGCAAACAAGGACCTATTTTTCGTCGGAAACAAAGATTCAGTGGATACTTTGTACCCCCCTGATTCCGGTCCAATTGCAAAGGATTTAGAATTTACCCGGATCGACCAAAGTAACATATACGACCCAGCCAATGGCGTCAAAAGAACTTTTATCAAAACTTGGGTAACAAGGACTCATAATTTTATGCTCTGGACATACCAAGGAAATGAACCAAAGTCGTACATATCACGATTATGTCATGCAACCTTGAATGAATTTTCGAGGAGTCGCGTTCGAACGGATGGATCAGGAATAGGGTAAGTAAAGACTAAATATAACAGTTTTGTTTTTCCGAGGATGTAGAGTAAATAGAGCAGCAGTTTTTAACAGGGGCCGCGCCTTCTCCTCCTCTCGGGTAGGCCACATAGGGTGGGGTGGGGTTGAGTGGGTGAGTGGGGGGAGAAGGGGGGGTTCTGATTCATACGGGACTAGATATTTCCCCTCAAATGCTCAATGCTAGACGCAAACCTATGCGCATTTTCATCATTATTTTTTTTTAAATGTTTTCTGATTCATACACGACTAGATATTTCCCCTCAAAATGTGATGTTTTTGTAATTCATGGGCACACTTTTATATGAAATTCGGAAAAAAAGATTAAATAATAAGAAAAATGGCTTTAATTGTCCTTTTTTTTTTTCAGTTACGGCCAAACATCTTACACAAAAACGGCTATTGAATGTGAAGGTTACCAAGAAGCGACCCTTGCTTTCTACAGGCATGGAAGACTGTATGTTCTTATGACGAAGGATAACAGATATATATTGTGCTCTGCTCTGTCCGCCGCTATAAGCAAACATATGGAGGTATGTTCCTATTTATATAGTTATCCGTTAACCATTAAATCGGTAAACCAATTATCTAACAGACATATATTGTGCTCTGCTCTTTCCATCGCTATAAACAAGCACATGGAAGTATGTTCACGAAATTATTGGTATACCGTTATCCGTTAACCATTAAATTGGTAAACCAATTATCTATGTGCTCTGCTCTTTCCATCGCTATAGACAAGTATAGGAAGGTATGTTCACGATATCGTCGTTGTACCGTTATCCGTTAACCGTTAACCATTCAATTGGTAAACCAATTATCAAGCAGATACATACTGTGCTCTGCTTTGTCCGTCGCTACAAGGAGGTATGTTCACGAGATTTCCGCCCCGTCCGTACATTTGAGTCTGCCTGCTTATTCAGTTAGGGTTAGGGTAGGGAGAGTCAGCGCTGGGAATTCATATTTTCAAATCATTCCTCGGCCTTACCCGAACTGGATAATTACTACTTTGTTATTTTAAAACATGGCGACGATGTTTTTTCAAACCTCACATTTTTACACGAGTGGCAAGGGCAGACATGGGTAAAGTACGGCCCGCGGGCCGAATTCGGCCCGTTGGGTAACTCAATCTGGCCCGCTTGATGCTGCCAAAACCAAACCGAAATCGAATTTTTGATTTTTATGTAAAAATAGCTCAAGAAATTTGTTGAGATTGCGGTTAAATTTAGTTTTTGCTCGAAGCTTATTGTTTTCCACCTTTGCTTTGTAACACTGTGAATATTGTCCATAAAATGTCACTCTTTACGTCACACTTACATGGCCCGCCAGTCTGGGTGGGCAAAATTTTTGGCCCCTGGTTCAAATAGCTTTCCACAGTGTACAAAAGATCCTAAACATTTTACACTTTACAGAAAGCCAGAGCTGCGTGCTTCAATGGTCTTGTTGAAAAGGCGGAATTAATTGGAGGGGCTTGCACGAAAATTACAATACAACCGTCAATGGTAAGATACATACAGAATGTCCGAATAAAATGTATTGTATTAATTAATAATTGTTTGAACATTAAAAATTACTGTAAAAGTTAAATTAGTATTGTATTATTTCAAAAGTGTTTAACTGTTGGTTATCATTATTTGGTTAGTTTTCTCACTGCCTTTCCTCAAACTGACGCTCATCCAGACTCGCATTGATTCGTATATATCAGACATAGGCCAAATCCGGCATGTTGGGTGCTTCAATCTGGCCCGCGTGATCCGTTCACAAACAAACTAAAACCAAAATTTGATGTCTAAGCTAAAAAATAACTCAAGTAATTTGTTGGGATTGCGATGAAATTGAATTCTGGCACAAGGCTTATCATTTTCCACTTTTTTCCCCACACGTTTTAACTATAATAACACTGCGAATATTGGCCCGCCAGTCAAGACGGGCAAAAGTTTTGGCCCCCGGTTCTGGTATATATCCTTCAAACAACGCATTTACATATTTTCAATTCCAAACAAAACCTTCTTCTACTGAGCTTCTGCTGATAAATAATAACAGCAACAAGTCCAAAACAAATTATATGTACATTCCGTGTCCAATATTTTATGGGCACCAACTGCGATAGTGTCTTGGGACCATGGGCGCAGCCAGAATTTTTTAGAATAAGATGAATTTGCCGAGTTAGACCTCAACAGCTCTGGTGCCTACCCTGGCATCGAGGACTTAAAGACCGTATCAAGCTACAATTGTTTATTTTTTTATTTTTTACATGGGAGTCCGCCCCCCTCCCCCCTCCTCGTGTACGCCTCTACAGGGATTCTCCAAACTCTACTGACATTTTTTAAAGGTTGAATGTGGCCTGGACCAGGAAAAATCTGATTTCTTGAACCCAATACAATCGAAAGAAGCGATACAACTTCGAAAAGAATTTGTATGGCCGCGAGGGACCGATGCGCCAACTACCATAGCCGTGGATTTATTCGACGGCGCCAGCATCGGCTTCTTCGGGACGAAAACGGGAGAAATTTTGAAGGTATGTATGGGATTGTTATGTGTCATGATTAGTTGTAGAATTGAGGTGGCAGGTTCAAAACTTCATTTAACTATTTTTTAGAGAAAAAAAACTAGTATTTTGAAGTTAACCAATTTTTATGAATAAATTGTATTTTCGGTAAAAATTTGCTACTTTGGATTGATTGGACCATTTTCAAAATAGCTCTCGTGTTGTACGAATATGCATCTGATAGAAATTTCTGGTTGAGGGGTTGGGTGAAGATTCCGTCAATTTCCATTCAGATTAGTTTTCAATTTCCATTCCATCCAGATTATATTCAATATTTTCATTCTCTAGTACAAATACTCAATTTCAATGCTTGATAGCCAACCACCAAACGAGCAAACTCATTTAGCGGCTCAATAAAACCAAATATTCAGTTGTATTTACTAGAAAAGTATATAGACAGTAAAACCTTATGGACAAGTCCAGGTACTCCCGAAGTATGTGAACCAAGATGGCCGTCACCGGAACGTAGTATGTGTACCAGGTTAAGGTTAGGCCATAATTTCATTCCAATTTTTCCTATTTCAGTTATATTAGGAGTTCGGGTACTAGTCAAGTGACTCCCGTAGTATTTGTACCTGAAATTATGGCCTAACCCTAACCTCGTACTCATACTGCGTTCCGGTGTCCGCCATCTTGGTACACATACTACGGGAGTACCAAAATTCAGGCCTTTATACAACCAAACACTCAAATGTATTTACTATGAAATCACATCAACACATTTTCACACAACTTTTCTCTTTCAAACTATTGGGTTAGTTGCCCCAAAAGTTTGGTAGCTGTTGGAAATGTCGCTAGTCGGGATATTTCAAATTCCTCGTCCAATGTCTTTTTGTTTATATATTTATATCTTAGGCTCGCATAGGGAACACAGCTTCCATCTTTGCGCTGAGCCATCTCGATTTACTTTGGTAAAGCCGTAATAGATGCTTGCAGAAACGAAAAAATTAATCTTGCGATCAGTATGGTGCTCCCCTTCCTTCAACTGTTCTGTGGCCCACTTGAGGGAGGGGTCACGGACCCCAGTTGGAAACCACTGCCCTATAGTCTGGCTAATAATCTTTCAAACAGTGCGCCATTTCGAGAGGTTTCCATCTCAGTTATGGGCACTGAGTAAAGCGCCGGTACCGCCGGTTGTTAGAGCTAAGATCTGAAGCCCAATCCCGACCCGACCCCAAATTTGGGCTGGGTCGGGCCTGAAATGTCAATCATTACGTTCGGGTCGGGTCGGGCTTCTCCATCGCTGACATTTTTTTTAAATGAGGCGTTTCGGCCCTATTTTGGCCACGAGAGACCATGGTCTGCAAAACAACAGAAGTTGCCTCATCAACACGACAGATACTGCACTAAACTTTTGCAATGACAATTCAAAGAACTCCTGAATAAAATATGGAATTTCGGGTTTGCTTCGGGCTTGGGCCTGCAAATCCAGTTTATTTGGTAGGGCTTGGCTCGGGTAGGGTTTAATACCCACAGGCCTGAGTCGGGTCGGGCTGAAATTTTTGGGCCCGATCTTACCTCTAACGCTTGTCTATGTAATTCTGAATAACTTTCTTGCATTAATCCACTTCTCAGGCTCGCATTGGGAATTCAGCATCCATCTTTGCAGAGAGGATCGTACTTGACGAGAACAAGCCAGTGTTGTATGACACAGGGTTCGATAAGTCATCCAACTTCATCTATGCTATGAGTCCTAATAAGGTATTTTATAAATTAGTTTTTTGATTTTTGAGTGTTTGTTATGTTTTTTTTATCATTTATTTGATTTTATATTTTTATTTTTTTCGGGCGGTGGTGAACATGCAAGTTCTCTCAGTTTTATTTTTCCTAAGCGGGTCAATAATTTCACATATCAATGTGTGTGCTTATGTGTATGTGTTGTTGCGCCATCATAATGATGTGTGCTGAGTTATGGGGTTGATTAATCATATGCTGTGAAGGGCGAATTTTCTATTCATACTTTCATATGTCTTAAAATAAATTATCTATTCTTTTTTGATATTTCGATTTGAAATTTGATATTTTCACCAATTTATTTGAATTTTATTTTGAAAGGGTGTTTAAGAGAATCGAATTTTGAGAAATATTCGAGGAGAATATTGAGGATAGTTGAAAATTACTTATTGCGGTGCTCTTGTAGTATTCGTATCAAGATGGCGCACAACCTGAACATAGTATGTGTACCGGGTTAGAGTTAGCAGGTTGTGCGGCATCATGGTACGAATACTACTGGAGCGCTCTTATTGCCAACTTCATCGTGTGGGTTATAAAACTGTTTTTGAAATAACTTTTTCTATTTTCAGCTGTTCAAAGTGAAGTTATCAAACTGCGACCAATACAAGACTTGCGACACTTGCATCACTTCGAACGATCCGTATTGTGGATGGTGTGTGTTGAAAAGCAGGTACGTTAGATGTTATTTCGCTTTTTAAACTTTTCTTGTCGTTGTTGTATCTTGCTATTCTTCTAGTTGTTGTTGGGTCGAATTTAGAAATGGCAAGTTTGCATGTTGAATTACTAATATATTCTTTACTTATTAAGTATTACTGTGATATATATTCACGCAAACGGTACGTTTTGGGCACGAAGAGTGCAAGCATTTTGTTTTGCAGAATAAATAAGAAAGAAACGTCAAGAGTAAGAAATTCTTAAACATTACTTTGCTTCAGTAAATATTCTTCCAAATATCAGTGAACAGTAGTTTATTTTCTCACCGTACTGAAAGCACACTTGATATACAAATTGCAATAAATAATTAAAAAGCATTTCGGGGTGAGGGGAGCGGCGAGAAAACAAATTTGGCTACCGAGCATCGACATCCCTAAAAAAGTTTTACCCAAAATAATAACTAAAAGTCGAACTGTATATATACAGTAACATATATGTTAATTTAGAAAAAAAAAATATTACGTAAGTGCATGTCAACCTGGTATGCGCAGTAACCTCTCATTTTAAAAATAACAACAAAAAAGACTCCGTGCACCAACAATCTAAGTAGCCATGACGACAGCTGTGTTGAGGCAAAGTCACAATGGCACCATGGTACAATTTATCCCCGCAACTCTTTTTAATGATAAGTCTACTTTATTTCTGTGTGGAGGCCCCTAAGCATGCCTTTAGTTTGAGGGAATTCTTGTAAAAGTGCTTTAAATTCAGGTCAAGAGATTCATTTTAACGTTTTCCTAATTTGAATTTTTTTTTAACATGCATTTTATAGCAATCGGAGGGCAATTTCATTTATGTTGACTTCATCGCAAGAGTTCTGTCCGGAATAACCGCGTCGAACTTAATTTTTCTGGCTTGAATTAGAATTATTTGTGAGCAATGATCACGAATGTTGTTAGACTTATAGTACACCTATTTCATTGAAAATTAAAAATAAATGAAGGTGCCTTGTAATCATATCAACATAATATTTATGAAGACGAACTTTTCTGGCTTAAATTAGAATCTTCGAGAGCAACGATCAAGAATATTGACACATAGGGAAAAATGTCTTGTAAGTCTTATAGTACAGCTATTTCATTGAATATTAGGAAAGAATAAAGTTGCGTTGTATTCATATCAACATAATACTTATAAAGGCAGTAACTTATCACAGATGATAATAATAATTTTTGTTTGATGTTCTTTTTTTAACCCTTTATCAAATCCTCGCCGGAAATGTGTACTGTGTGATACCATGGTGTTGAAATTGCGGAGTAGTGTGTAACTCCTCAAACGACTCAATTTAATATTTCATTATTATTATTTTTTCCATTATTATATATATCATAAGTACTTCGCAATAAATGCATTTCGCCCAGTGTGACAAATCACACAGGATAACTTTGGTCGGAACAATATTTGCTTATAATAAACCGCATTGTGACGTAAATAAGCCACTTTGTGAAACCACAATGCCTGTTTCTCCAATCCGAATACCTCTCGATGGCGCAACAAGAGTTTCCCAAACGCTACTCTCATAGTATGTGTACCAGGTTTTGGTTAGGCCATAATTTTGTTCTGATTTTTCCTTATTTTAGTTCTATTACGAGTTCGGGGACTGTTTGTGTTATTCAAGTGAATATACCCCCTGTCCATAGGTTCCAGTCCCATTACACAACTTGATGTAAAGTAGGCGAACAAAATTGGTTACCTTCATATTGGTACACATACTTCTGGAGCGTCTCCCAAACAGAATATTCTTATCGAATTCTTTGCCTTTTTCGGAAAAATTTAGGCCTGTAATAGTATTTTTTGTGTTTATTCCGGGGAAAAGAAGTCGGTAAAAACGCTCACGAAGGGGCGCTCCAGAAGTATGTGTGCCAATATGGAGGTAACTAATTTTTTCGGCTGTTTTACATCAAGTGTATAAAGGGACTGAAGCCTATGAGCACACAGTCCCTGAACTCAAAATAGAACTAAAATAAGAAAAATCCGAATAAAGTTATGAACTAACCCTAACTTGGTGCACATACTACGGGAGTACCCATGACTGTAGTACAAAACCTTTTTTTCGGATACCATCAGAACACGCCATGTTTGACAAAAAGCTAGGATTATCAGCTAGGGACTTAGGTATAGGCTTTGCAACGCAAAGGGATCGGAATTACTCAAACGTACCAGATCAAACTAAATTAAAAACTCGTTTCACGTGCCGTACATATTCAAAACTGGCACTTCGCGGGCCACACAATTTCCTCTTGGGAGCCGTATTTGGCCCGCGAGCCGCAGGTTTTACACCCTTGAGCTAGGGCACCTACCTCTGAGCTAGGGTCTGTGTACTTCGAAATATATTTCGCTTCAATCGGTGAATTCATTAAAACTCAGGACTCAAACAAAACGCAATTTAACAGTTTACAGCTTCGTCATACATATTAAAGTATGTTTATTTATTATTATACACCCACCACGTATGATACATACATAAATTTCCCCATAACACGCAACTGTAATTCAGGAAGTCTTCGAAATGCGTCATTTCTTAATCTCACATGTTCACTGTATCTTGCTTGACCCGTATGTTATTTTACGACTCATAATTGCAAGTAAAAAAGCTTCTAACAAATTGCAGATACATTACTTGAATTTTGAGGTACTTTAATCACTATTGTAATTTCATATTGAAAAGAAAGCGGCCAGAATTTCTAGTCCTCTGGGAAGCTTATTTTTTTGTGAGTTTTTAACAAATTTGCTCAGAGCAACCCACTAGATATGCAGTTACTGATACAGATTGAGCCTGACGGGGACGAACTACGGCGCGCGGGCCAAATACGTCCAGTTGGTTGATTCAATCTGGCCCGCTTGAGGCTTCCATAATTGTCTGCTTGTAACCGATTTGGCCAATTTTGCTTTTGAAACACTGTAAGTAAAATTCTGTTTCTGAAATTTCCCTTTGTTCGTCAAATTTACATGGCCCACTATTATAGGTGGACATAATTTTTGGCTCATGGTCGAAAAATTCGATCAACCCACGGTTAGGCAGTTTGGTAATATTGAAATTACATTGAAATGTTAAATTGACTTTACGGATTTAAAACAGTATACCATTTGCTCACCGCTTCAATTCTCAAAGGTCTGCGTATGACGCGGATCTTATTTTTGGTGTCTAACCTTTTACTTTATAATGCTGACAAGGCCTTTCAAGTACTGTGTACTGTAATTAAATGTAAATTGGGTTCTTTTAAAAATAGTTTTTGCAATGATTTCGGTGTTTTCTCACGGTTTTTAACGTTTTTTTGATGGGTTTTCATGGTTGGCCCTGCTTTTAACGTTTAACAAGGTTTTTGGTGCTTGCCTCTTACTTTATATTGCTGACAAATCTTTTTAAGTACCGGTATCGTGAAATTGAACGTGAATTGGGTTCTATCAAAAATAGTTTTCGCACGTTTTTTTTAGTTTTTTCACTGGTTTTCAGTGTTTTAACAAGGTTTTTGGTGTCTTACCTTTCACCTTATTTTGCTTACAAATTCTTTCAAGTACCTTAAACGTGTAAATCGAACTTAAAATCGGCTCTATCAGAATAGTTAATCAGTGGTTGCTTGTACAGTGTTGTTCTGAGTAGGGATGTGAAGACACTTCAATAAAAATACGATCTCTCCGCACATCTGCACCGCCACTGGATAAAGCGTTCCGAACTTTTTTGTTCCCTGGGTCGAGTTTCTTACAATGCTGCCACTCATACCAAACTTCAAAAATAATTCGGGGGATAAACGAATTATAGATTTTGTTATACATGAAAATGAAAAAATTCAATGTCAAGTAAGAGTGAAATGATTGTATTATTATTATTTAAATCATCCAAAGAAGGAACAAACTCACACTTACAACGTGCTGCCCGGGGGCGGCGCACGCAAATACACGCTAAGATTTATTTTCCCATGTGAAACAATACAAGGACCTCCAGAAGTATGCGCACCAAGATGGCGTACAACCTGAACATAGTATGTATGTACCGGTTAGGATTCAGGCTGTGCGACATCTTGGTGCGCATAGTTCTTGAGCACCCAATACAATTTCTCCTTGGCAAAGAATCCTCACCGCCTGGGAAACGTTACAGCGCGTATCTAGGCTGCCATGTCCATTTCAGTCTCTCCCCATGTGGCTACATATGTTCCATAATACCAACTCAAAATATTTTTTTTCAGCTGCACACACAAGTATGAATGCACCGACTCTCATCGCTCTAAGAACTGGTTGAACACTTTGCGAATCCCTTCTGAATGTCCTAGTGTTGCCGCAATTGCACCTGCTGCACTTTCTGTAGCTGTTTCACAAGAGGTAAGGCCAGAAGCGTAACTAGAAATCTTCAAACTTCAAATTCTAAAGTTTCTAATTGCCAAGTTAGACAGTAACAGCCAGCGGTTCGAAACACGTGGGTTACTAAGAGCCACGAGGATATAAAAAGCGTTTCAAGCGACGAAAAACTGATATGTATGATACAGAAAAATCCTATTCCTTGACATCTTAGAATTTCTGACCGCCTCCCCCCTCCCGGGTAAGTCCCTGGGTGAGGGTATTATAAAACTACTTTTTTATTTTCAAAATTTATCTTGGACTCATCCCCCCCCCCCCATATTTTTGTAATCTTGAAAATAATTGGGCCATCTCGCGGGTGTCCCATTCATTCGATCTCGCCTAATTATAGTATAGCTAGCATATGAAGTGTCTGTTCATGTCACCGATACCACTTTTGTGTCAATATGGTTGAGCATAAATTTAAGGAACATTAATTTTATCCCGTTTTCATTTTCAGCTCACTTTAACATTCGGAGGAAGTGAGTTACCTGACCACGATTACGAATGTGAATTTGTTGTCGGAGACACGGCTATACACACTGCGCCCATGAAGAATTTCTCTTCGACACCGACTTGCTATTCACCACCCGAACCACCAATGATACCGGACGGAAAAGGTAAAGAATTTAGGTTTTTAGAATAGTTTTACAATGGGAAATTTTTTAAGCGAAATTTCTATGAATTGATAAAGGGAATTACTTTAAATCAAAAAACTTACTGTGTTTCCCCTAAAACAAGCCCGCTCCTCGGAATAAGACCTAGCCAATGAAGCAAATTTTTTTTGACCTAGTCAATAGCAAAAAATCTCTTTTTTTTCCTCTTTACAAGAAATCTGCCTAGTTTCATTGATTGATAAGGTTATTTAACATTTTTTTTTAACTTTTTATGCATGCATAGTTTGAATATAATGGGATTTCGAATCTACCAACCAAAATAACACTATAAATACCACAGTAATAATAAACAGGGGCACCATGAATGCTAAAAACCTTTGGAAGGGGGGCACAGGATATAGAAGGTTGGGAGCCACTTACCTAGAACGTCTTAATCCTGGACTTTCATTGCAAAGAATATTTGGCATTTTCAAACCTCAACGCCGAAAAAATCCCTACACTTACAGATGATGCACTTACTATCTTTAAAACAATCACAAACCACGTTGCCATATTTCTACACATTAAAAACAAATTTATTCATTTTTCTAGACAATGTCAATGTAACTCTCCATATAAAAGCTGGCAACGCTACCGTTGCATCAGGAAATCTGAACATCTATGATTGCAATAAGATACCAAGCATAAACAAGAACACAATGTAAGTAAAAAACTTTCTTTTACGAAATAGGTCAGACGTTTATTTTGAGTCTATTCCATACAAGTTTGCTCAAAAAAAGTCCCGGATTTCTCACAAAACGTCGCAAAAGTAAAAGAGTCGCAAACGACTATTCTATTTTACAGACAATATGGCGCACTTTCGACCCCCCCCCCCCCTCCAAAAAAAAACATGATTGTGCACAAGTACCGGTCTGATAGTTCGGATATGCGCCTTATGCATGTATAAACCCTTATCTGATTTTATCTGAGTTTATTGACAGTGTGCCTAATAACCCCATTCGACTTATGGTATGTAAAATACAGTAATTCATAATACATCAACTTGGCACCATAGTGCTAAAAAGCAGAGTAATACTTTTATTTTTCAGACATTCTAGGCATGTTTTTGCTACCATTTTGATTTTACAATATGTTTTTCCCTAAATCGCGTTTATCGTCTTCTAATTCTGTCTCAATCTCATTTTCAGGTGCGCTTCGTGTGTTACTAGTTCTTGGAGTTGTACATGGTGCTCGAATAGCAATACCTGTGCAGATTACTGCGTTAACTCAGTGGGGATATCTGGCAAGGGAGAATGCCCAGCTGTGCTAGAAGTGAAGAACCTAACTGTGGATATACCGGTCGGGAAACCCCAGGAATTTACTCTCGTGACTACGAATCTGCCTAAGGTATGCTTGAGTGGACATTGATAATGATAGGGACTTTGTGCAGTATTTATTCTTGCTTAATTAATAGAGCGTAGCCAGACAGAACAACTTGATACTAATTGTACAGTTGTAATTCTGCCAAGTTATGCACGATATGTTGATGCACTGATTAGTGATTGGGATCATATTGTACTTGAATGAATTGGTTTTCCCGATTGATTTTCTCTATAGGCCTTTAACGCAGTGGTTCCCAAAAGATGCCCTGCGTCGAGTTTTCAAGTGCGCCCCGAAAATTAACAAAATTGGGGGCTCCCGAAGTATGCGAACCAAGATGGCGGACATCGGAATGTAACATGTGTACTAGGTTAGGGTTAGGCCATAATTTTAGGTATGAATACTACAAGAGGCTCTTGGCTAGTCTTCGAACTGATAATAGGAATAAAATAAGGAAAATTGGAAAAAAATTATCGCCTAACCCTAACCTGTTCCCCATGTTACGTTCCGATGTCCGCCATCTTGGTTCGCATACTTCGGGAGCACCCAAAATTGTGTTAACATGACTAAAATATGATTAAATATTTGGCGCTCCCGTAGTATTTGTTCCAAGATTGCGCACAACCTGCTAACCCCAACCTGGTACACATACACTATGTTCAGGTTGTGCGCCATCTTGGTACGAATACTGCGGGAGCACCGAAAATTTTGCATATTGCATTTATTATTATAAATGGTTTATTGTTTCTTATTTTTGAATGCTGTAGATTCAATAGATTCATTTAACCTTTCTATGTTGTTCACTCTCTGTTTCATATTTAAAAACATCATTTTTTTCGTCCAAGTGCGCCGCCGAGTTTTTTCTCTGATAATTTGGCGACGCACGAACAGAAAGTTTGGGAACCCGCTGCTTTGGGGGTTATATGCTCGCTCTGAGCAGGGCTATGGGCAAGTGAAGGTCCAGAAATGGACTGCTGTCATCCTGGCTTCAATTTTTTAATCAAGGGCCAAACTGTGCTAAATTAAACTAAACTCTTTTATCAGCACTCTTTTCATTTTAGTTGAGTCCAGAATGTATTAAAATATTTAGGTATCTTCAAAATACCATTAAAAATACCCATTTTGTTCGTATTTTGGCAAGAAAAATTTATTTCTATCTCTTCATTTTAACTGAGGGCTCGTGATCGAGACCTCACCAATTATTCATTTTTTTTTCGCATAACTTTTATAGAGCCATGTTCAGGGTCGAAAATGTATTAAAATATTTAGATATTTTAAAAATCACAATAAAGTTACACTTTTTTCGCATTTTTTGCAGAAAATTTTTTTGTCAATTACTAATTATGACATCATATTGTAGACGAAATTCTTAGAACCAGACAGTCAAGTCGTCTGTAAAGGTCATTACTGCAATTATTGCCACGAAAACAAAATTATGAATATTTGAAATTAAACTATATTGATTATGTATGTGTAGTTAAACTTAGCTTCGAGTCAATATAAAATTAGTCAATATAAAAAAATCTTTCTTACTAAGGATGGCGTTTGGTTAGTATTAAATGCGTTTAATGGCTCAATAGTTAGGGCAGTGGTTCCCAGCCTTTTGTGCGCACTGTCTATTTTGGATCTCTTTATTTCTCATAAAAACCCAAAGATATACTGAAACATCAGATGTCATAAGATTCATAGGAAATTTAGGGACAAACAAAAGTAATAGCGTTCTAGCCACAACGACAATCACTGAAAATTTCAAAGCATTCGGCCCAGTAGTAACCTATTGTACATATCATTGTGGTGCCGTACCTCTTTGTCCTGTGTATTGTACTTGTACAAGAGTTTTATATGTATATTTCACGTCTGTTGTCCTACTATAACGCAGTGTCCTAAACTGCAGTTATACTTGTTGGAGTGCATGTCTCACATCTGTGTCTTAGGTCAGTAAGGTCTTGAACATGTATCCCGTCTCTTTTATACCGTTTAAGTATTATGCAGATACTGTTACATATTTGAGGCTAACATACATACATACATACACACACACACTCACACTCACACACACACACACAAACACACACACAAACGCACGCACGCACGCACACACACACAGCATTTCTCTGTATCGTACATAGCAATTTTTCGCATCTTGAAAAGCTTTTTTGGCCCTCAAGGCTCTCTGAAACCACGTTTTCCATAAGCCAACAAATGAAAGTAAAATGATAAATATATTACGATAGAGAATTGAACAAATGGCAGTCAATTTACTGCAAATAGTACCTAGTAGAGACCCTTGTTTGTACCAAGGAGAGGGTGGAGAGGGGCTGGGTACTCCTGAAGAATGCGCACCAAGATGTCGCACAACCTGAATACTCCTGAAGTATGCGCACCAAGATGTCGCCCAACCTGAAGTCTGCGCACCAAGATGTCGCACAACCTAAATACTCCTGAAGTATGCGTGCCAAGATGTCGCACAACCTGAACCCTCCTAGCCTGGTACATAATTTGGGTTCAGGTTGTGCGCCATCTTGGTGCCGAAATTTCCAATTGCCAACTTAGACCGTAACAACCAGTGGGTCCGGCCGGAAGACGTTGGTTTCCAAGAGACTTGAGTGTCTAAAAAGCGTTCCAAGCAACGAAAAATTGTTATGTATGATACAGAATAATGCTTTTTTACGTTTCAAAGGGTAAGGGGTTCCGACCCGCACACCCATTTTGGGTACGCTCCTATTCGCGGCACCAGGGAAACGCTCAAGGGGTCTGTTGGTCGAGTTAGATTGGGTAACCATTTAAAATGAAATAAAATTAATGAGCACACGCCCAGAAGGTTACTTGAAGTCTTCATCAAACGAATTTATTTTCCAAAACAACACTTATTTTACAGTACAATATCACTCAGCTTTGCGGATTTTTTTACAGAGAAACTTCTTATAGAAAGTCATTAATCACTTATTTTCGGTATTTTTCGCTTCTTGGTTTTCACCACGTTAGTGAGATTGTATTATTTCCAACTCGTGAGAAAAATCTACATTTTTAGGTATGATTCGGTAAAAACGTGCACTGGAGTTAAATTAATTTTTGTGTCAACTTGATTGAAATTTGTTGAAAGGTTTTTATAAAAGAGAATAATACTAATTTTATCTGACATTTCTACACCTACATTTTGAATGAGAATCTGAACGGCTCGATTAGACACTATGTATTTTATCCAAGGTGTAAAAAATTGGTCAAGTTGTTTGCATACGAACACTATCATGTTATGTTATCTTTAGCGGTGTAGTTAAATCTTGTGAGGTAGGGACGATACCGAACAAATTTCAAAATTTTTACAAATAGGCAAATTGGGGAACGTTTTTCAAAAAATGGGTGAGAACCACGCATTTTTGTGGACTTTGCATTGTAATTTAAACGCCAATCAGATTTGATATGCCAAGGGTGGCAATTGCTTAACTAGGTAGGCCAGTAACAGGTAATACTGTCCTGAAGGCCCGAAACTCATGCAATATGAATAAAAAAAAAAGATTCATTTACAAATAAATATAGCGTCATAGCTAATGTACAACAAACAGCTGGTGCACCAAGTGGTACAATGATCAACGGTCTTGATGTAGCCGTCGATTTGGTATTTTCATCAATATTTTCAACGGAATATTATATCAAGAAAAACTATAGTCGTTATTTCAGCATACAAGTGGGCTCAGATGAAACACTTCCGGGGGCAGGATCCGCCCGCGGGCCGTAAATTCCACACCCTTGTGATATAATAATCTTTTGAAATTGTAATAGAATTTCCATGTTTAGATCACACTTTTATGCTTTTCCACGGTGAATGGAGTCCTGCCAACAATTTCTAATGACTTCAATTACATTCTGAGCAAAATCGTGTCGCGGGATCGTCATCCTGTCTGATTTAGAAAAAGCAATCATTTATTTATTTAATTAAACGTCATTTATTGATTAGGTTATTAATGGAAAAGTTGAATTGCGTGCACAATGGCGAAATTGTAGTATATGATTACCTTTTCTGAAATTTCTAATTGCCAAGTTAAAAGTGTCTCAAGATGCGAAAAATTGCTGTACATGATGCAGGATTTCTTTTTTTAAAATTCAAAAGGAAATGGGCAAATATGGCCCGCGGGCCAAATCCGGCCCTTTGGGTAATTCATACTGGCCCGCCTGATGGCCACAATCAAACTAAAACCGAATTTTGATATTTTAGTTAAAAAATAACTCGAGGAATTTGTTGACATTGCGACTAAATTCAGTTTTGGCATGAGGCATATTGTTTTCCAATTTTTTTTTTAAACACTGTAAATATTGTTCATAAAATGTATTTTTTTGCGTCACACTTACATGGCCCGCCAGTCTAGGTGGGCAAAATTTTTGGCCCCTGGTTCAATAAACTTTGCCCACCACTGGTATATAGCCATTTTATCAGTAATAGGAGAAAATATTTCATAAGTATGTATTTTAAAATATTCATCCTGTTTCAGGCCCAAGATTTCGAATGTGTTCTTGATGTCTGCGAATCGAGATACGAAGTTATTGTCCCTGGAATCAGGGACGGGGAAGAAGTGAAGTGCAATGTTTCCGAAAACCAGGTACGTTTATAATGACGTCATAATGACGTCATGAAGTTCAATATGGACACACATTATTACAATACAACTTTTCAGCAATCTAATTGCAATTTAAGCCGCAATGATTTTGATCACTTGGGTATTTTCAACGTCTACCTAAGAATTCAGATGTGAACACGAAATCCTCCAGATTTTAAATCTTGTAGGTTTTTTGCAAGAGAAATTTGCAGCTAACGTAAATCATTTGGACAAGTAAGAATTCTAACTAATCACAACATAACTCGGTAGCATACTAGTTTCAGTTTAGACCGTCGGTTTCAAAAAAGAAGTAATACTGTAGATATATGCTGAGATGATAGGAGTCGGGAAAATTATATTTTCAGATTAAAACGTGTTATAGAAATAAACGTATTCTGTCTAGACTCTAATCTAGAATTCAAAGTTTACGATGAACGGTGAAACGGTAAGATGTAATTTTTAAAACTGAGAAAAGTATTGTCAAAACCAAGGCATTTGGTCTCAAAATTAAAGTTTACGGTAAACGGTCAATTCCAAATCAAACCACGTTGTTTAAATTCACGGTAAACGGTACAATCTATCAGATTTTGAATCGTGTAAATTTTTCGCAAGACAAGTTTGCAGCTAACGTATAGGGCTATCTGAAGAAGTTCAGTCTGGCCATACCTAATTACAATACAACTTTCCAGCAATCTAATTGCAATTTACGCCGTAATGACTTTGATCGCTTGGGGATTATCCATGTCTAAGAATTCAGACATTCAGACAATGGTTTTAGCAAATTAGTTATCGCCGTTATTGAAATGCGGTCACTGGGACACCCACATTGTTCGCGCCAGCCGTGATGCGCCCCCTTGGGGATGGAACTTAACTGTCTGATTGACACTAAACTCGAGGTCAGCATTAATTAAGCTTACCATATATAGGAGAAAACGGGACATTGGGCGAGCGTTAGTAATATTTTAGTTCATATTAATATTATTAACATTCAACTCATTGAAAACAAGAAGAGCATTTTGAATAATTTAAAGTAACGTATATGTCAAATTGACGTATTAAAAATGACATAATAATATAGAGGTTCTTTCTCACTCCGAGTGGCAAATCAATGATAAATAAAATGCTCACGTTAAAAATAAAACAATTCAGTATTGATATAAATATACAAATATATTTATAACTGTCATAATGCATGACCGGGACATTTAGATCTATCAAGTGGGACGCCGAGACAGCTTGTTAAAATCGGGATTGTCCCGGTTTAGCCCCGTATGGTAAACCTAGCATTAGTCAAAGGGCTGTTTAGAAAGTCGTGCATTTGTCATCATTTTAATTTATCGTTTATTTTAATTTACAAGTTTTAAATTTGTAGAGAAAGGGTCTGAAATGTGTACTGTGACTTTTACTTTTTTTGCTAATTGAAAAAGTAAAATAAATCCCCTAATTTTTTATGTGTTCCCAAAAATATCTGAGCAAAGGTATGACCGACTACATAATGAAGCTCAAAGCGCTAATGATAAATCATGATAATGTAGAATTGGGCATTGGCAATACCGATAGACTTGAATTTGACGAATGAAAACTTTCATTTTAATACAAAGCCACAAAACATAATGTCACTGTCTAGATATGCCGCTGTTGCCACTTCCCGACGATTGATACTTGTTGTTGAGCGCGTGCTGGTAGCGGTCGCCACCCACTTTGCATATCTATTCCCGAGAGCTCATGGTACTAAGTGCTTTAGTGATTGAAATGAGTACATCATGAAAGTTCAAATACAGTAATTTAAAAACATTTGCGTGAAACGGTTAAAGGTCCGCGATAACTCAAATGTGACTTTTTAAAATAAACTAAATTTGGACTCGAGTCACGGTTTATCAAAAATGCGATCGACTCTGATGACTCATGACTAGACTTGACTCGCGACTCGAGGTTTAGAAACTTCTACTCAGCACTACTCAAGGGTAAATTTCTTAACTCCAGAGTGTGTTTGTGATTTATTCTTTGACTTAAACACTGACATACTAAAAGGAATTCAATTAAACGGTAATGCCAATGGTTTAGAAAAGGTTGAAAGGTTAATTTACCTTTTCTAACAAGGCTTGTAATAGATGGCTCGGCTCACAGCTTGAATTTATTTGACTCACAATAAGTTTTTCTATTGCTTTACAAACGGTTTTTTACTCTCAGAACGTGCTAAATTAAAAGTGAATGAGATACATCTAGAAGCTGAGTAACGTCCAATCACTGGAATGCCGAGTGATATTGAAACTATATCGAATTACGACGGTGTATTACAAACACTCGCACTGAAACTATATAGGATTATCATGGTGTATTATGCGAGTATGTGCTGATTGACACGAGATTTGAGGCCGTTCAGGTCAATACGTTCAGGAAATTAGCTATGAGGTAACGGATTCCACATACCAATGTATGTCACACTCAATCACTCAAAATTGAGGGGTGCTCACTTTTAAGTAGTGTCGGACAGGATCCTCTCAACCCGAGTTGTGAGTCAATTCTGAGTCCGAAGTCCAGCCAATGACTCAGTTAGGCCTCATTGGCAGTGAGTTGTTGACTAGTTGTTGTCCCATTTCATCTTGAGTTAATTTGAGCTTCCCAACGCTGTTTCCAAGAAACTTTATTGGCGACAACTGAAGTGACGATAGCATGCGCAAATGTCGCTTGACGTTTTTATCGAGTTAATCCGTAGGATGCCACTTGAAATATTTGTGGTGACAAGGCCTCACGCCATGGAGTGACGATTTCACACATTTCCTGTTTTGAACCGCTATTGTGTTCTGTGGTCAATGACAAGCTAACTGACGAAAGAGATAAATGCAATGCCTGTTTCGTGGTTCAGAACAGTGTTTCTCAGTCGAGGAGGACAGAATTTTATTGTTTTTGTGGGCACATTTCACTTCGTGAAGTAATATTAATATTGTTCAGTTTATGGTGGTCCAAAGTTGTCGGACTCGGGGGTCACACTATTATTTTTGTATTGTTCGCGCGGGCCACAATAGTGTCAAGAAGAGGCAGACAGCGCAATACAAAACAAACACTTTTAGTATCCAAACACATTTGTCATTTATCAAGCTAAAACACGCAAAAACGTCTACGCCGTGAATTGAGAATTTCACACATTTCCCGTTTTGAACCGCCATTGCGTTATGTGGTCAATGACAAGCTAACTGACGAAAGAGATGAATGCAATGCCTGTTTCAAAGCCTGTTGTGTGGTCTAGGGGTTAATGCGTTGAGTCTAACAATATGTCGCCGCCACAAGTTTGAAATATCCGATTCAAACCTTACGTTAATCACAATCAAAGTGTTATGAATAGGGCTGGGCATTTCGAATCGAATATTCGAATCGAATCGAATAGTAAATTATTCGAATCGGTTCAGAGCTAAATTTCGAATCGCCGCCATCTTGTTTTTATCTTTCCGCTAATGGTCGAGGTGAATTCCGCAATTTTTTTTCATTGGAGTCATATTTTTTCAACGAAACTCTAACATATGACTATTTTCCATAGTGAGTTATTGATAAAACGTGTTTGTTATTCTGTGTGAGCGCTCAGTAATCTATCTGGGTGATTTATTATATGTCTTCGGTAATTCATGTGTTGAGAGGACCAATTACTATAATAAAATCGCTTACAATTATATATTATCAAGTATTCGAGATTCGATTCGATTCGAAAAATATTATTCGATTCGATTCTGAAATCACAAGGTATTCGAAAATGCCCAGCCCTCTTATAAATTGGGTAGGCAATGACGTAACAAAAATATTTGGGTCAATCCAAAAATAGTCTGGTGTACCAGTAGCTTCTCGTACATAACCTTGTCTAGAGCAAGCGTGTGAATAGCACATTAGACCCAAATATGTTGACACCGTAACTTTATGATCTGGAATTCACATCCCAAGACCATCATTATGTCATCCAGGGCGGAAGGGGGGGATGGGGGTAAAGTGGGTAAAAATCCCCGAACTGGAATACTTCGGGCCTCACAATGACTATTTTATAAGTGTGGACAGAGTATCCACAAAGTAAAAGAAAAACAGGATCCATAACTCACTTATACAAAACATAAAAAAACTTAAACACTTGAACTTCTGTTTGTGTATGATCACGCCCAAATGATTCAGTAATCGGAGATGCTTTGCACAAAAGTAATGTTGCTTTTTATTATTTATATTTATATCAAATTCTCATCTTTTTATTTCTATTTTTTCAGCTCAACTGTGAAAAAGAAGATGCGACTGTTATTCTGTCACTAAAGTCAGGAAGATACATTGTCGACACTCCTAGAGTTGCTACAGTAACAAGTAAGTAACCTTGCAGAATTTTTTTCTTCTCAAGTTTGACCTTTTGGATATGTTGTGCAAAGCCTGGAAGGGGAGTCTGAAGGTCCAAGGGTCTCAACCCGCCCCTAGAATTATTATTTAAAAAATAGGTAATTTTTGTGGTACTTAGCAAGTAACATAGGGTGATCTACGAGTAGCTTCAAAGCATATAAAATAGTTTAATATCTGTATTTCTACTTTTGAGCCACCACCTACTTTTAGGCCACCCAAAATTTGTTTTTGCAATCCTACTCAACAGCGACTGTAATTCGTTTATTACATAGTCTAGAGCAGGGGTGTGCAGCCTTTATTACAGGGGGCCAGATTCAAGTATTTGGGTAAAGCCCCGGGCCGCACTTTTATTTAAGATATAATTTCTAGAAGTTTCAGGCACAAAAAATGTTTTTGGTAGCTAGTTTTGCTAATATGGCATGCCCTGCCACGCAAGAGGATTGGAATTGCTCGCACGTGCAAGAATAACTAAACTAAAAACTCGTTTCGCGGGCACACCATTCAAAATTAGCACTTCTCCGCGGGTCCACAATATTTCCTTGCGGGCCACATTTATCCCGCGGGCCGCAGTTTGCACACCTCTGGTCTAGAGTCTAGACAAAAAAGTTCTCTGCACTTATTAGTATTTCCCTTCGATTTCATTACATTTCATTACATTTAAATCAACTCGCTCATGCGTGTAGCCAATTTTCCGTCGCCATCTTCAAGCGCGTTGTACTACGTGTTTTCATCCCTTGTTAAATTGTCTTAGGAGTCTGTCGTTTACGTTTTATGTTATTCGTATCAAAGGACTTGAGTGTTGTACTCGGCATGAAGGATTATCTAAGGATATAATAATATTCGTCCTTACTGATGTGCGCCCTTTCGCTGAAATGAACGATTGACCTGAACATTTAATAGCTTAAGTAAATATAACACTGAGTTTTATATGAATATCCCGAAATTTATGTTTTCATTATTAAATATAAATTTCCGGAATGTTTTGTGAATGTTAATGAAGAAGCGACCTGAAAACCGTTCACATTTGAGAACATATTGTCATAGCAACAATGAATTGTGAGTTCATGACCGAACGACTTCTTGCGCCATCTATGTGAGTTTGGGCCATGACCCAGGGAAGGCAATTTCGTTTTTACGTCCGTTTGTTATTAATTATTTTTAAAAGTTTTTATATTAGAAAGTCAGTTTCCCAATTTCCAAAATAAGAAAAATTTCTTTTGTTTCATTTTTAATATTTAAATATTTCTACCTCACATTTTTCATTTTACTTTATTTTTTTGGCAATTCCCAGTGATTAATTATTTTCAATAGTTTTCTGATCAAAAACCGCTTTCAAATCAAAATTTGACAAAAACAAAGAATAAATTTTAGTTTTTTGGCAATTCCGCAGTGATTAATTATTTTCAATAGTTTTTTGATCAAAAACCGCTTTTGAAATCAAAATTTGACAAAAACAAGAAGTAAATTTATCGTGATTAATTAATTTAAACTAAAATTATAATTGGAGTTTTCACATTTGGCATTTTCCAATTTTTTACCATTCTTTTATTATATTTTTTAATTTGTCATCAAAAACCCAAGTCCAAGTTTTGAATTTAGCAAAGTTTTTTTACTTTTATTTTTTTTTATTTTCCGGTGGATAATTGTTTTTTAATAATTTAATTAACAAAATAATTGAATTTTACAAAATAATGAAGTTTTCTATGATTAATTGTTTCATCTTAATTCAAAGTCCAAGAGTGAATTTTTTTTTTTACAATTTTTTTTTTCGAATTTTTAAATTTAAAATCAAATTTTAAATCCAAATATGCTAGTAGCAATGTATTGTAATTGATAAAGTTTGGAATAATGTTTCTTTTTTGAGTAAGAATTTATCATCGACCAGTCGATCGCATGGCAATAATAGGATTTCTGTCGATCTAAGTCGAAGACAGGTTGGCCACCCTTGCCCTAGGTCATGGCACAAACTTATATAAAAAGCACAATAAAGCGCTCGAAAATTTATATTTAATAATGAAAACATGAATTTCGGGATTTTCACGCACAATAAAAAACATTTTTAGCAACACTTCAGCCATTTTTCATTTCGCATCAATTCCTATAGAAAGCGCTTGGTCATGAACTCACAATTCATTGTTGCTATGACAATAAGTTATCAAATGTCAACAGTTTTCAGGTCGCTCCTCGATTAACTTTTACAAAACGTTCCGGAAATTTATATTTAATAATGAAAACACGAATTTTGGGATATTTATATGAAACTCAATCCTATATTTAGTCAAATTCTTAAATCTTTAAGTAGAAATTAATTATTTTCCTAATTAATTACCCCAATAAACAATGAAATGTATTTCTCAATGTCATTTTTAAAATTCATACGTTAAAGGTGAGTTATGTTAAGAATAGAAAATTTCGTTTGTACGTCCATTTGTAATTATTCAGGTATAAAATTTTCTTCACGAGACAGTGCCCAATTTCCAAGACAAACAAAAAAAAAATTTCTTATCTTAAATTTCCCATTGTTCAATTAATTCCGCCCCGATTTTGTATTCTTTTCTTTGCCCGTCATTTAATAGAAAAAAATGTAATAACGATTGACATTAAATCTGTTTCCAAATCAAAAGAAAATCTCTCATTTATCATTCTTTCATGATTAATGCGCTTCAATAAACAATCAAATATCTTTTCTAACGTCATTTCAAAATTCCATACGATAAAGGTGATGTATGTTAAGAATCGAAAATTTCGTTTGTACGTCCGTTTGTAATTAATAAGTTAACTTGTAATAATATTTTTAATAGTTTTTACGAAAAAGTCAGTTTAACAAAAACAGAAAACTCCATTTTTCAATGTTTAAATAATTTCCCCCCAAATCAAAATTCAGTTTTTTTTATTTTTTATTTTTTTTTGCAATTTCTCGTGATTTATTATGTCACGTTAAAGTGCATTATATAGAAAAAATAATGACAGTTTACGATAAATCAGTTACTAATTTCCGAATTAAACTTAGGAAATCACCTATCTAGCATATATCATCACTTTCAATATACAATGAAATATCTTTCTTAACGACATTTATGAATCCTATACGTTAAAAGTCATTTATATAAAGAACCGAAATTTCGCTTGGTTCGTACAGCCGGTTTCGGTCCGGAATTAGTAAATTTATTTTTGACATAATTTTGGATTCCATCTATTTGTCGGGGGAATCCATTTCCGCTTTGTCAATGTCAATAAAATAAAAGTTTTGCCTTCAACGTAGTGTTGGAGGGTCTCAATTTTGATGTGTGTGTATGTCCGGTTTCGGTCCAGATTTAATGAATTTAATCTCAAAATTATTTTAGACTCCGTTTATTTTGTGAGAAAGTTTATCGCCGATTTGTCAATGTCAATTAGAAAGTACATTAGCATATTGAAAATATGACTTCTACCCAATACCGGTTTCGTTCCGGATTTGGTTTTGATATTATTTGGGACTCCGTTTATTTTGTAAGGAAGTTCATTTCCGCTTGATATGTGAACCAAAAAGGCGGACACCAAAACGTAGTATGTGTACTAAGTTAAGGTTAGGCCATAATTTTTATTCCAATTTTCCCTGTTTTAGTTCTATAAGGAGTTCGGGGACTAGCCAAGTGACTCCCGTAGTTTTTGTACCTGAATTTATGGCCTAACCTTAACCTATGGTCTAACCACATACTACGTTCCGGTGTCCGCCATCTTGATTCACATACTTCGGGAGTACCAAAATGCATACGTGACATTATTGGATTTATTCGAAACCACTGTGGCCTATAATATAATTCATTGACATTGTTAAGTACTTCGTGTGGAATCTTTTTTTTTAGTCTAATTTTAATATTATATTTTTTTGATAATTAGAATAAACGAATACTTTCGAAAATGACCTAATTACGAGTTCATGGCATAACGAATACGTAACTTCATTGGACTCAAATCTTCCAATGATATTAACATGTCATGTTAGTCACCATCGAAAATCTAAAATCAATTATGAAAGTTAAGTATTTCCATGACCTCGAGTTAACTTTTTTCATGCAATAATCACGTTAATAATTTTCTAATACTTGACTTAATAATAAAATCTAATTCTTCTTCTCTTGTAATTTCAATATTTAATTTCGGATATATGATAGATATTCACATGAATTTCTTATATCTTCCTAAATTGACTTTCCTATAGATATTTGGGTTGCTTAAGTAGCTGCATTGATATGATATGTTTTGTATATGGAATGTTCTAAACATGACTGCAGAGTCTGAACAAAGTGAATAATTGATAAACTTTGAACCTGTGACCTCTAACCCCTTGCTTGCGATGAAATCCTGTAATTTGAGCCAACTGATGCTTACATTAATTTTACTGATGCCCAATGGACTGCAATATGTTCTGCACTAACTTCTTCAGCTCTGCATTACTTACCCAATTCGTTACACTATACTTGTGGGCTTCTAACCTTTTATGGCACGTGGTCACCCCCCCTATGTTATATATTTCAGTGGTATCTATTTTGTTGGTAGATTCCGAATCCCATTAGGGTCAAACAATTCATGCTCAATAAAGTGAAATACCCTTAAAGTAATGAAATTGGAAAGAACGAGGATTTTTCTTGTAAAGGAAAAAGTAATCAGTTTTGCGCCTAGCAACTCTTCAGGGTAACCCCTGAGGTACACCCCGGGAGAGGTTATGAGCATTGGGTTTAAACCAATTTGAACCTGCTGCGCCAACATGGCTATTTCTAAGATGTCAGTCACAATTCTGGTGTACAAACGCCACTCCTATCCTAGCCAGAATACATATATCTTTGGCGCAATCGACTCTGTAGACTGAGCTTTTCCCGAAAGATTCTTGTGTTTCTTAGCTCGATAAACCTTCATGTAAGTGGTCGCATAAAGCCTTGCTTGAAGCTTAAATATAAATATATTTAAATTTTTGTATTTTAAGTCGACCTTTTCAACTGCAGCAGTTCTGAAGCGGAGTGTGGCCTGTGCATCATCTCACACGCTCGGCATTCGGAATGTGCGTGGTGCGGTGACTCGAGCTCTTGTATTCCGGCAACGGATTGTAAAGGACCGAAGACCACTGATATCACGAGTTGCCCGGCTCCGGTTATTGAATGGGTAGGTATTACATTTTTTGGCGCTCCAGAAGTGTGTGTACAAATATGGAGGTAACTAAGTTTGTTCGCCTACTTCATTTACATCAAGTTGTGTAAAGAAACTGAAACTTATAGGCAAGGGAGTATGTCTACTTGGCTAACACAGACAATCCCCTAACTCGTACTAGAACTAAAATAAGGAAAATCGGAATACCATTATGGCCTAACCTTAACCTGGTACACACACTACAAGAGTACCCATTTTTATGTAAATTTGTGTAAATGAAATTCCTCAATAAGCGCGTCGTACCAAGGTAAGTTAACGCCGAGAGTATTGGACGAAAACTTGAACTACCATGTCCATATCCAACAAGAAAAATCCAATATTTCTATAACTTTCCATTTTTCATCCAGATCAATCCAACAAATGGACCCAAGAACGGGGGAACCGAGATTACAATCTCAGGAAAGAATCTCGGCAGCAAATCATCAGAAATATCGAATATTACTGTTGGGGAAACGGTCAATTGCAAAGTCCTTCCTGAGAAATATGTGCCGTCAAAAAAGTATGTACACATTTTTTTTTATTCATTGCAATGGGCATTTGATGATGATATGCTGATGCGGTAAGTCACACAAAAACTCGCCTTACATTTGGTATTCCATCTACTGCGGTTATCATGGTTACCTTTGGCCTTTGGCAATATGCCATATGTCAGGGTGGTTCAAACTCTGGTCCATTATCTGTGGCCCGCGTTGCAAAAATTGCATTTCGTGTTGTTTCGTCATAAAAGTAACCAATTCATCTTTTGACATATTGTTGCATCACTAATGTCACTGAATTAACTAGTGTTATGGCTTGCTGAGGCAACTAGCAAAGTTAAACGAGCGAAGTTCTTGGCACTATTGTGGCCCGCGAACAATGCAAAAGTCATTTTGTGGCTCGCGATACTGCCAATCTTGGACCACCCTGCCATAGGTAAAATAAAAAAAGAGTGCTAGACTAGACAGCCACTTCTTAACTAGAACCCAACAACATCTACTGTATAATAGAGAACGTAGCAATCTTAACAAAATACTATTCGCTACTTGTCAAGAGCCACATTTCGTTGTGTACTTTTTCGCCTGCACTTTTCTCCCTTTTGCGGACATTTGTTACAATGCAATACTGTGCTAGTGAAAACAAAATATTGACTTCACAATATTTCCATTACAGAATCGTATGTGAGACTGGATCCACTTCTCTGGCGCCATCCAGCGGTCCAGTTCAAGTTTATTTATCATATACAAACAACAAATTTGCATCAGAGCAAGACTTCACTTTTAAGGTAAGACTGTTGTATTGAATTCAAGGAACCATGTTTTCGATGTAGACAATGGTTTTGTTTTCCACTTTTTATTACCAGGTAACGCGAGTCTCTTTTTTGGCTTTTGGTGTTTTTTTGTACGTTTGCTATGTCTTAATAATCTTCCGTTACACTTGCACCACTTTTCAAGAGCACTTACACAATGTGACAAAACTCATTAATCGACGTATTATTAAGACATTGTTTTTGCTAGTAGCATTGTAGTTTTTACCCAACAACTGCACATTTTGAAATCGCGAGCTCGTCTCACTCGTTTCTTTGAGGGTTCTTTTACACACTAGTTATGTTTTTTCTAGAATATGTTGCATGACCTGGACTGTTTTTGGTTACCCAGTAATATAAATATTGTTCACCACGATCAACATTTTATAACATTTTCTTAATTTTTATCATACAGGAAGTGACCGTGACGGGGTTCGAACCCAAGTATGCCTTACTTGGTACCAAGGTTACAATTTCAGGCACAAATCTTGATGTCGGGAATGGAGCAAGTGTGAAAATTGTGCAGAATTCAGAAGAGAGATCCTCTATATGCTTAGACAGGTATGGCACAAAATCGGGACCTCCAGAAGTATGCGCACCAAGATGTCGCACAACCTGAATCCTAACCGGTACACACATACTATGTTCAGGTTGTGTGCCATCTTGGTGCGCATACTTCTGGAGGTTCCAAAATTGTCACAATGCTCTAGTGCAGTGTTTCCCAAACTTATGGGTCGCGACCCAAAATTGATTCGTCTGAAATTTCCCTGGGTCCCTTGTTTATTTAACAGACATCTTTAAAGCTATTCTATTCAATTCAAAAGTCTTGCTGCACACGAACACAAATATATTTCTGTAACGTTTCGTTTGACCGAGGTCAGACTTCTTCAGACAAGTATTTTACAACTATAATAAGAAACGCAATTGCATGCACATAAATATTGGTTTCAAATGTTGGGTCTGTTTGCGATAAAGAGATATAAATAAAATTGGGGCAGTGCCAGAACAATAGGGAAGCTAAATTTGATTTAAAATCAATAGATACCCCACAGTGTAGTGAGTGACAATTAAAAAGAAAATTAAACAATTTCATGCTGTTATCCCGTAACTCCGACTGTGGTATCTCCTAAGCTCATTTAAGGGTCATGCAATGTAAGGAAATGACGTAAACCGCGAAATAGAAATCAAGTGTAAGTGACAATCTTTAAAGCTACAATCTTTACAATATTAACAATCTTTTAATCTTTAAAGCTACTGCTTCTATTTTCTAGTTTATTTAATATTTGTATCGAAGTGTTGCTTAATAGTAATTGTATATGAGGGAAGCACCACAGCATAGAAGTTTTGAAAAAGAAAGAGAGTAAAAAACATTTAAACGGTGAAAAAGTATGGAGACTAGGTTATGCTCCGGCGAAATCAAGTTGCTATGAAGCTAAATGCGCGACGTTATAACAACCTATTACTATTTTGGACTCGCCCGAAATTAGTCTCACGATTTCAGAACGTGGTGGTTGTTTCCATAAATACCTTTGTGTGCAATCTCTATTTTAGATTTAGGTTGCTGCCAATAATGCGCGTGTATTGATTTTGAATTTGTTATTTTCGTGATCTATTCCAATACTATTACAAAAAATAATAAAACTATATCGCATTTGGTAGGGATAGTCGTTGGGTCGCCCGAATTTTTTTTTGGACTTTTAGCTATCCTGCTATATACACGGGTAAATCAAAAAATTTCTCAAACTAATTCTTATCGAATGCCATATTGTTTTATTATGATTTTCCGCGCTCCGAAAGTATTTGTATCAAGATGCCACACAACCTGAACAACTCTAAATTAGTACACATACTATGTTCAGGTTGTGCGCCATCTTGGTACGAATACTTCGGGAGCACCTGATTTTCGGTATTGGTATTGGTCTGAACGATATGTAGTACTTTAATGGCGCCAAATTAATTTAATAATGCAAAATATAAACAATCATTTTTGTATATAATTCATTTCCTCGTGTAAAACTTGAAGTAAAATAATATTGGGTAATCCGCGCTTGAACGCAAATTATTTGACACCTTCTGATAATACTATTATAGTTATCGAATATTGCCGCACGTTTTGCACGCTAACTTCAATACCTTTCCGAATGGTCGGCAAACAAAAGCAAACTTAGGAGAGTCGTGGCCTTATTCTAGTCTCTGTTGTATTTTGAGAATTTGATAACAAAAATTAAATTTTAAAATATCACGATTTTACCTTGAAAAAGAAGTAGTTTAAATATCCAGAAGAAACATGGCGTGATGGCGTTTTTGTATTTCATTAGAGCTGAGCTAATGGCCCATTAAACTAATGCACCAATCCACTTCAAACTAGTAATTGGAAAAATGCGCTAAAACAGCTATAATTTTCATTTTTTTCTATGTGACCTAATATTCCATCAAATATTTGCTGTTTTATTTAAGTAAATTTTCTCCAGACACTCTAGCGCCCTATGCATCAGTGGCTGGTATTATGGAGCCTTTTCACAGTGAAAGTGTAAAAACAGCTCAAATAAAAAAAAATATTCTGAAATTGGACTCGACCCCTGTATTGCCTCAAAACAAAGCTGAAAAGTAAAGTTTGCAGAGTTTTAAATTTCTTATAAAACTTGGAAAGCAAACTTATAACCTTAAACTACAGTTCCCGATTTTACCAATAAACGATACTGTGATTAGAGTCGCTGACGATACGATAAATACTAAATATAATCTTTTATTTTAAACTGTATTTCTGCCACAGAACACCAACACAACTTGTATGCCTTGTACCAACGGCCCCAATCACTGGATCCTACGCCGTTTGGACCACATTGGACGGCTTTACTCAAAAAATGGAAGAAAATATTCAATTCGTCACAGAACCTAATGTGACTCGTCTTGTTGGAAGGGAATCCCTTGTTAGCTTCTATAGGTAAGCTATACTTTGTTTTACATTTTTATATTTTTGATCATAGAGTTAGAAAACGATTTATATGACTTGTATCATTCTTTGACCTTTGCCCTTTGACCTCAAATTGCGCATGATTGCAACCGGATAATTCATGGTGAGTAGGAAACCGTCACTTCACATTTGGGAAATATTAATGATTTTTTTTGAGAAATTAAACATTTTTGAATCCAGACTTGTCCTGACTTGTAAATGAACACATCGCTATTCTAGTTAGCACATGATGGCCACCGTATATAATATACGTGTTGAGAATATATTAAGCACAGTCAGTGTCTTGCCAGCCTTGATGTAGACCGGGGGTGTGCAACAGACGGCCCGCGGGGCCACAACCTGGCCCGCCAAGTCATTCAGTGTGGCCCTTGTCAGCACTCAAATATTTCCTTATCAGGCATAAAATCACAATCTGACAGTTAATGTTAGAAGACGCTCACATGGATCAAAATAATGATTTTTGGGTACTCCTGAAGTATGCGCACCAAGATGTCGCACAACCTGAACCCTAACCCATCTTGATGCGCATACTTCAGGAGGTCCGATTTTTGTTCTTGTCGCTGCATTAAATCTTTCGACGTTTTGCCGGCCGCCTTTCATACTGTAAGACTAAGCGATAGCCGCATTCTCTTCTCTTGCTTTCCCGCGGCGCTTATTTTGACGTAATAATCCGCAAAAACGAAGTGTTTTATGTGGTCCAACTAGATGTCTGAAGTCGGTTGTATGGACCACCAACAAAAATAGTGCACACCACCCCTGATGTAGACTTTATATTTAGAAATTCGAATGTCGGCCAAATACATCGTTTAACGAGCATCAGTTGGGCTTTATATATTTTAAGCACGTTTAACGGTTTTTGCTTTGAACTATGTTAATGAATTTTGGAAACTCTGATTTTCTCTTCCCATCGTTTGTCAAATTCCTAGGAAAGTCAACAATTTCGTCATGACTCCGATATCCTATAAGTTTCACCGCAAGAAGTGTGAATAAGCCACATATAAAAATTATATGACGTCATTATAGAGTGCAAATGACGCCAAAATCAAATATTTTTTTCAGTTCTGATTCATTTTTATTTAATTTAATCTTAGATAATTTTTATCTTATCTAAGAAACACGGTATTCCCGAAGTATGTGAACCAAGATGGCAGACACCGGAACGTAGTATTTGTACCAGGTTAGGGTTAGGCCATAATTTCTCCGAACTCGTAATAAAACTAAAATAAGGGAAATTGGAATAAAAGTATGGTCTAACCCTGACCTGGTACACATACTACGTTCCGGTGTCCGCCATCTTGGTTTACATACTTCGGGAGTACCAAGAAATTTGTCACCGATCGGAATTGATTAATTATAAATTTATTATAATAGACAAATTTCGAAGTATAGATATGACGCAAACGCCATTTTTCAGTTTGGAATCATATTTTGATTTATTGTTATCAAATCTTATTTATCTTACATTATCTTAGAGCGATGTAAATATTCGAAATTGATTAATTAGGAAATTATCACAACAGACTAATTTGCAATGTCATTCAGGCGCAATTATCGTTGACATTTCGAGAAAACAATATTTTGGTTAAAATTCAAGTCACAATTTTTCAATTAAATACTGCTAGAAAAATCGAAAATTTACCATAAATTTCGTGTGTTCTAATATACGATATCACTGATAAGGTGTTAGATCTAAGGTAAGGTCGAGAGGGTATGATCTGAACTATTGTCTGATAATGGTATCACATGTTTCCAAACGTTTCAAATTGCCAAGTGCCCTGTTTAACAAAGCAATTATTAATGAATAAATGTCGACAGTGCAGATCCCACCAGTTAGCCAATGAAGCTGATCTTTCTGTGTGGTAATAATGTTTTCACGTGTTTTTAAAACGTTTCAAACGTTTCAAAGGGCCCTGTTTAACAAATCAATTATTATTGATAATGTACCGAAAGTTGTAGAGCCCATTGGTTAGCCAATAGAGCTGTTCTGAACTATTGACTGGTAATGGTCTCGCGTGTCTTCAAAAAATTCCAAAGTGTCCTGTTTTGCAAAACAAATAATAATGAATAAATTGTCTAGGTCATAAAACATTCTAAATTTATTTTGAAATATTTCCAAAGATTGTTCTCCATTTGACCTTTCGAAATAATTTACATATTACAAATTTATTAATAAACTTCACTTGGTAAATTTAGACAAATTAGTTCGGATAACTCTATATTACGATGCCTGTGTGATAAAATGAAACTAATTCCGGTTCCTTCTATTACGTAAGGGGTCAAATGTCATTCTTTGGTACGGCGTTTTTCTACAAGTACAGTATAAATAATCTTATACTTTATACATTAACGTGTCGATTCGTGCTTGCTACTCTTCTATTAATATTCTTTCCACTTGTTTGGACCTAGAGCAGGCATGAAAATTCTGAAATTTCGCTTCAAAAACGCTGTAATCAAGCAGCAACCAAAGGGGAGTTGATACAATTAGCATGTGACAGTACAAGAATGTATAATAAAGAACCCCAATTTAAATTAGGCAAAAATTTCCAAATTTTTAAATTTTACAACTCATTCACTCCATGTAATAGGAATCTTGTCGCATCGAAAAAAAGAATGATTTGATTTTATTAGCATTAAATTACGAAAAAAAGGTTTATAACATATGAACATTTTCATTACCCCGCTACATAATTTTTTGTAAACATAAGCGATCACAATGTTGATATATGTTCGATATAGCGAGTACTTTTCCTTCAGCGTTTCGATCATATTTTTTAGCAATAGATTGGTATTTAACGACGCACTTGAAAGGATCAGGCTAACGCCGATTTGTGTTGCAAAAATATTTAGCAACACTTCCCAAATTCTAATTACTTATTAGCATAATCGATATCGATTAATATTTCTCTGAAATCTTTTTAATAACTGGCATTCACTTTTAACGTGATGTTTGTCTGAAATGAAAAACAATTCATACGACCTGAAGAAGCGATTTATCGTGATAGGTTGATGTTAAAGACATTTGTGAATAGTATTGGGGTTATGACAGTATGCCAAATTCCATTGTACGTTCGACATTGATGAATGGTACTGCTTTATATAGGGCGTGGTTTTAAACCCGTGGTTCCAAAACCGCGGCCCGCGGGCCATTTACGGCTCACGTGACAACTTAATATGGCCCGCCAAACTTCTAAGTGCTAAAATACAGCCACAAAAACGGGAAATATATTGACGCCATTGGCCCATTTTGAAATATGCAAATGAATGTTCGAGGCAAAAATTATCTGTTAATTCTACGTATTTATGTTTGTGTTGCCAACAATCTTTGGAATCCCCTTTCTGACTCAGAGTTAAAGGTCAGTTCGTGGCAGTAACGCATTAATTTTTTTCTAATTACTATTTTTATCGATATTTTGGACAATATATTCCCGTCAGAATGACTATGTAAAACTGCAAAGAATTCTGTAAAGAAAATCTAAAAATAATGATTAAATGATGATTTTATTACGTTTTAAACCTTGTCTACGGATTTGTTTGCTCTCCTGATTTCACAATCAGTTTTTATTTAATTGTTTAACAATTATTTTATTGCCTGTTATGCTGAATATGGAGTCGAAAATTAGCTTTTTGATTATTAGCGAATTGTAACCATATTCAAGTTAAAATAGTTGACAAATCGTTGTTATATATCTGTGTGTTTTAATTATACTTTTCTTATTTTTTTCCTAATTAAAATTTCGTTGGAAATTACGGAGAATACTCAGGAAAAAGTCAAACCTAAGTTCAATTTTGGAAACTTGAAGATTTTTCATAATAAATTCTATGAAATGAAGATTTTGTTGCCAATAAATTTCCCACGTAAGGAAGCCCTCACAAAAATAGCTTTATAGATAAAGGTCAAAAATGCCTTTAAGATGCCAAAATTTCACAAATTGCCACAATTTTATATAGCGTAAAACCGACCATTATTTTGTCAATAAATTGGACAAATCATTCCGGTCAGACAGTAATTGACTACGTATACAAAGGTCATGAACAGGAAATAAAAAATAAAAAAAAAACCCATTATTTAGATATAGTTACATTGTGTATCAGCTACCATCTTTGCTTGAATAAAATCGAGTAATGGTAATTGAAAAATTCTCGAAAATTGCAATCTCAGTCGATAAAGATTTCCAAGTTGCTACTTATTTTATGCAGTTGTTGACGCATATGTTTTAGCGCCTGATTGTACAGAGCCTCCTTAAAGTGGAAGCGTGATAACGCCTCATAAGATATTTTTATCTTTTAAAAACTGAATGTTTTGTGTCACGCCAAAATCTGGCATCCCTGTCTTTCTTCTTATACCAACGCCATAACTGCTATACCCATAATTCGGAAAGCGTAACTCAGACTGTTTTTATATCTTTGCAGTGGTGGCCTCGTGGCAACATTTGAGATGACAAGCCTTCTAGGAATACAGAATGTTGCTTTGAATGTAAATGCGGGAGAAATAGAGCAGGTCAGTATTGGTGTTTAAAATTCCCGCCCATACACCATGAATATGGGAAGGCATTATCTGATGGTTTCAGAATCAAATCAAATATCTTTGCCGAATCGAATCTCGATTACTGAATAAATATTCAAATTTAATATTTAAAGGATGTAATTGGATGTGGAGTTTTATTGTAATAGGTCCTCCAAATACTTCACTAAAACATAGAATCCATCACTCAGACAACTTGCTGAGTGTTAAGGCACACTGAGAAAACACGTTTCGTCAATAACTCACTGTAAGAATATATGTCATAAGTCTGCATTCAAAAAATGACCTCACAATCAAATTGAATTATTCATCTCGAATTTTTTTTTTAAATTTTTGCCCCCCCCCCCCACTTTGAAACGTGAAAAAAGCGTTTTTATGAATCATACATAGTAATTTTCATAGCTCAAAACTCTTCAAAATATACGTTTTCCGGCCTCGCTAGCCGTTAAAGTCTTACTTGACAATTAGAAATTTCAGAACGTCCCTCTTTGAAAATTCTTGGCTGAGCTCCTGACTTGGGGTTCAGAAACTCCTATCAAAAACTGGTTGATAATAGAAAACGTTTGTTTTTAGGATTGTGATTTGAACACAAATACGACAACCATATCCTGTCCTATCCCGGCGATGAACTCACTGGATCCAGAGTACAAGACTAGATCAAAGAGAGCGGTTGATGGCGATACGAAACAAGCCGTTCCAAGGACGACTGGTATGAAACTATATTTAGCATAAGAGCTATTCTTAAATCAGGGACATATCTGGGGTGGTTCTGGGTGGGGGTAGAAGGGCTTGTGGGGATGAGAATTGAACCCACCTTTTGAAATATTAAAATAGCTTGAGACTTGAGAACTCACTTTTTTCGGCCTCTGGCTAGACCCAAAAATGGCGCTCGGGGAAGATACAAAGCAAGCCGTTCGTAGAAGTACTGATATGAAACCATATTTCAATAGATAACAATGCGCAAATCAGGAGCTTAGTCGAAATTGGAGTTGTTGGGTCGGGGTTGAAAGTCGGACCCTCTTTTGAAATATTTTCTGTACCATACATAGGAAATTTTCGTACCTTGGGGCGCTTTTTAGTCCCTCAAGAATCTTTGAAAACCCACTTTTCCGGCCGCCGGCTGGCCCGAAAAAGAGCGGTTGTGGGCGATACTAAGCAAGCCGTTTTAAGGACAACTGGTTTGACAACAAAAAGTGTTATGGAAATGGAAACTTTAATTAAAAAGGAATTTCCTACTTATTTCGAGTTGAAATTCCTACATTTTTTTTATTTTTTGTTCCTCGCTTATTTACGTTTTTCGCTATGAACAAGACCCTGTTTACGAAGCCACTGATATCTAGAGATCAGATTCAGAAGGATCACCATTGCCTACACAATTTATTGCAATATTGGTGCTCCTGAAGTATGCGCATCAAAATGTCGCATAACCTGAACCCTAACCTGGTACACCATCTGAGTTCAGGTTGTGCGCCATCTTGGTGCGCATACTTCAGAAAGTCCGATTATGGCATTTAAACCCAAAATGTGTAATCTGCAACATAGTTTAGTCCTTCACTCCAACCGCCATTACGACATCTAAAAAGAGATTTAAAAACTTTGGATATTTTCAGATTCGAAAAACGTTCCAGCTGAAATCGTTATAAACAACAAACTAAAAATCCCTCTTGCCGGATCCTTATCTCTCGTGTACGTGAACAACCCACAACTCGACTCTTTGACATCGATGCCGTGCAGAACGCCAGAGACTACCGGTCCTGATTCTCGAACCACTGGAGGCACCAGTGTGAATGGTACGACGAGAAGTGACCCCCAGAGTGACGCAACAGCAACGAAGGAACCAACAGTAGCTGTTCAACTTACTGTAAGTAGTTCAGAGTTAGGTATAAGTTAGTCTTTAGTCACGAGTTAATTCAAGTCTTCGGCTTTTCTAGTATCGAGTCAATTCAAGTCATAGGCCGTCCAAGTCGAGTCGCAGACCATCAGCGTCTCTGCGAAACATTTAGGTTTCGCGTCAATCCCAGGACTGATCATCCGTTTCTGTAGTAAGCTCTAGCAGTTCTCTCACGGTAAATGCTCATTTCAGATATAATAGTGTATTTATTACTATTTCGTGCTCTGCACATGCACTCGCTCATATATCTAACGTGTTTATGGAGTTACCCTCTTTGAAAAACATTCCGGTTCGGCGTTGCCTATACAATTTGCGTTCAATTTCAGTTGATTCCAATGCCTAATTAAAACACCAGGCCATCTCGTGCACTTGTTTGAAAACTTGTTTGGTTGTAGCATCGAGTACAATACCAAATAATATTATCAGTCATTTAAAAGGTATAAACCATAATGGAGTGTGATACCGCAGCTTTGGCAGAACTGTGGCCATTTTTTTTTTATCATAATTCACAACACATTACTACAAAAAGGGGAGAAGACAGTTGACTTTGGAAGATTTTGCGTCTCTATTATATCTCTGGGCTGTTGATTGTCGTTCTTATGCAATTTGCCTTGAAATCTATACAATTTCCTAACTGACTTACCGTATCACATCCTTTTCCATTGGCACACATTCTAATTTATACTTTAATACAACCAAATACTCAAATGTCCAGATTAGACTTCCATTCCATAACAACTGTTTCAAGTCAAGATTCAAGTCCGTAAAAATCATTTCAACAAAATATTCCATTTTACATACAGGGTAAATACTTGAACTCAGCTGCTATCAAAGAAGATTATACAATTACTATAGAGCCACTTGAAGGAGATCCAGATTCAGTTGACTGCTTGCCAAGTTTCCTCGAAGCCGAATCACTTATTTGTAAGGCTCCTGCATCAGCGCTGCGGAAATACGAAGGGTATAAAGTGCAAGTTACGGTAAGATATCAGCGATAATACTTAGATCTTCATGTCATACAAAATGAATGACGATCATAACGGTTAGCTCCTTGTTAGTAAACACCTTTATTCCTCTCTCACTATAAGTAAAAACTTTGTTTGGGCGCGGCGGTGTGACTCATCCAGTTAAGCGTTGGGAATACGCTCGCCATCGCATGCATCTCTGATTACTCTGCCTGGGTTCGCAGGTTGGAATCCCATGCGAGGATAGTTATGTGCAAGAGGATTGCTGGACTCCTTGCCGCCGTGAGGTGGTTCACGTACCGCTGGTCGGTTACGGCTTCCTCCACCATCAAGTCCATGTTTCCTAACTAATCCCATACCCGATATCGAATGGTAACCGGACAAGAAGCCGTGGTTCGCCATATATTTATTCAAACACTTCTTACGCAATTTTATTTGATTTCACTTTGGGAAATGTGCATCTAAACACTTCCTACGCAATTTTATTCAATGTTCACTTTGCAAAACGCGAATCTAAACACTTCCTACGCAATTTTATTCAATGTTCACTTTTGAAAACGCAGATCCAAATACCTCCTACGCAGTTTTATTCAATGTTCACTTTGGGAAACGCGTATCCAAACACTTCCTACACAATTTTTTTCAATGTTTAACTTTTTATTTCACCCGCAGGTAAAAGTCGGAAACCTGACTTTCCCTTTACGAGCGGAATACTGTCCTGAAGGGGGAAGTTTCGGGGTTGCAACGATTGCTGTCATTGTAGCAGTGGTTGTGGTGCTTGTCATTATAATCGTCATATTGGTTGTCATGTTCCGAAAGCGAGCTCAGAAGCAAAGAAAGGAGAGAGAACAGATCATGTTCATGCTCGATACATTGGAAAACAAAACGAGAGAAAATGCAAGAAAAGGTAAATTACCGCATATTCTTTTTGGCACTTTATCCGTCATCCATAATTTCAGGGGTGCGCCAGGTTGTTTTCCTGATCGGAACTCTCTCCAACTTTCGAAATATAAAAAAAACGCATTTTTCTGTATCATACATATCGATTTTTCGTAGATTGAAACGTTGATTAGGCCCTCAAGACTCTTAAAAACCCCGATCGGCCCCCCTAGCTGTTAGCTGTCTATCTTGGCTATTAGAAATTTCAGAACTCTGTTTGAAAATTTTTGGACACGCCGCTGTGTAACTTCATTCTAAATGCTTGCTTTGAGCAAATGTCTATGAAAAATAAAGACCTTGTAGAAAAATCTTGTAAAACTTACTTTATTATGCATCGTATTTACCTTGCCAATTTTCAAAAGTAAAATTTACTCCTCTAATTGTGCCTATGAATTGATGTCACTCTGTATTTTTGCTTATTTACGAAAGTAGCAACTAATACATAAGGACCTACTGTATTCATTAGAAAGAAATATATCTGTTTCCTAAATTACTTATTTCTCAAACTGAATGATATTTACAGCTTACTTTGAACTTCAACTTGGCTACATGACGACATTGACTGACAACTTGGGAGACATAATAACCTATCTTTCTCCTGTCTCCTGTTTCATGAGGGCTCTCTTCAATGATTGGAAGCCGGATCACCCGATGTTAAATTCAAAGGTAGATTGGTTGACAATATTTGCTGAGATACTTTATTATTTTTTTGAGTATTTTTTCTTCGCTGTACGTTCAACGATGTAGTGGTCCTATTATAGCGTGGATCTACCACATTATACAACAATTATAACAATACAATATACTCAGTGATGGGATTCAAATTTTTTGTCAGACTGTTTCATCACAAAAGTCATGTTTTTCAGCCGGTTCTTCTACAAGAAGTCATGTTTTTTTTCAGTAATGCTAACCGGTTTGCTGATCTCATAAAATTCCGTGAAACGGTTCTATAGAACCGGTGAGAACCGGCTGAATCCCACTACTGATTATACCAACTGCAAAGCAATATTTTCTTAAAACACTGAATCAGTTTTCTTATCCTAGCAAGCAAACGTTTGATGTTTTGACTCTTTAATGCAATCTCGAAAAATTAACTATCTCTAATAAGCGATGTTAGATTAATGATTAGTACTGTACTCACAGCCAAAAACAGTAGTTTTCAAACTCTGAAATTTCAATTTTTCAAATTAGATATTTGGATCTTGGGTATTGGTGCTCGATAACCAACTTTGGTTTTCCGCTACTTCCTTTCTCCAGTAAAACTGTGTAATTTTCATTTATTCATATTTTCTGTGTTATATTGTTTTTCCTATTACCTGGTTGGAAAAATAAACTGGCTGTACTCAGGTATGTATCCAAAACTCTGATCTGATCATTGCTAATTTGTTTATTCAGTCAAACTCAACAATAACAAACGGAACAGTTGCTGGTATCGACGAGTTTTTTCAGCTTCTAAAAAACAAGGATTTCTTGATGACACTAGTAAAGACATTGGAAGAACAGAAGCATTTCACTGTCAAAGAAAAGTAAGAATCAAATTTCGAAATCGGGGATTATTTAATTATAGGTTTATTCACCGGAATATCTTTGGATTGGCATGGCCCTTCCGAATTTATTACGTCCCAGGCAGTGGTGGGATTCAGATTTTTTGTCAGCCGGTTCCCTCACAAAAGTTATGTTTTTCAGCCGGTTCTGTTACAAACAGAACATTGACAATTACCAGTAATGCCAACCGGTTCGCTGATTTTTTAAAATTCCGTGAGTCGGTTCTATAAAAACGGTGCGAACCGGCTGAATCCCACCACTGGTCTTATGTTAAATGGTGGTATTTGGATTAAAACCCGAAATTTTTCACTTACAGTGTCAACACAGATAGTTCCAAAGCTTCAATTCTTAGACCAGTGGTTCACGAGCCGCGGCCTGTGGGCCAGTCGCGGCCCTCGTAACTTATAGCTTAACACGTTTTTACCTTTCTACGTTCTAGATGCCGCCAGTTGTTAGGTCATTATCACAGTTTAAGCACGTGTATATTTGTCATATTTCAAATATACCGTTATCTTGATTATCTTATCTTGCGGGCGTTTCCCTCCCCCGGGTCGCGAATATCCTCTCGCTTTTAATTTTGGTCCCCAATCAATCAACTTTGGGAACAACTGGCCTAGACCAATTAATAGAAATTAAAACCATAACAACACTTTTTACCACACTTTTTTTATATTTTCAGGGGCCAGTTCGCTTCGCTTCTGACAGTTTGTTTATTTGACGATCTCGTATATTTTACAAAGTAAGTTTTTTGTATTGCATTTTGCTCTTTAATGCATAAAGGGTGGCCACATAGTAAACCAACAGCGATTGAATTGTTAGCTACAACGGAGTTTTATTCAAAACTAATTGGGTCGCAGCCTGGGTAGTCGGTCAGTAGTTTATTGGACACGTAGTGGACATAACGATCGTTTTATTGTTCTTGTTGTTCTTTCCTTTGTATCGTTTTGAAGAAATCGCCTTTCTCCTTGATTACTGGACCAATTGCTCTGAAATTTTCAGTGGTTGAAGATGGAATTTTTCCCCAGAAGGCTTTTATTTTTATTTTTTGCTATGACGTTGTCAAAATTATGTGGCGCTACGTGCCCATATATTTGAGCATAGCTCTTGTTTTACATATGAAAATGAACCTTACTGCACATTTTATTACCTTATAAATATCAAGCACTAAATCCCGAGATTAGCTACTTAACGAGATTTGCCCATGCACAATGAACGGCGCTTCCGTAGTATGTGAACCAATATGACGGACACCGGAACGTAGTATGTGTACCAGGTTAGGGTTAGGCCATCATTTTATTCCAATTTTCCTTATTTTAGTTCTATGACGAGTTTGGGGGCTAGCTAAGTGACTCCCGTAGTATTTGTACCAGAAATTATGGCCTAACCGTAACTTGGTACACATACTACGTTTCAGTGTCTGCCATCTTGGTACATAATTATAATTTAAAAACACTAAATTTGATATTTGACACCTCGAAGTGCGTGGCCCATCGCCCCCGACTCCCTCTACGAGAAAAAGCATTTAAATGGCTATTAGAACCATATAACAATCCCTACAACTAACTTAATGAAAAAATACAGTCATTTTATTCCAATATGTTACAGGGTTATGATGGATCTTCTCTCTGATTTAATTCAAAAACATGTCGGAAAAAATCCAAAGCTGCTACTTCGAAGGTAAATTAATTAATTTACATTCATATATCTTTCTCATTGTAAAGCACCGGGTGCTTCCCCCTTTCTACGAATTCAATGAAGTTTTTTTGAATTCAATTTTGGAATTATTATAAATAGCCTATTATAGTTTCTAATGTGCCAGCAGTTGCTTGCAAATCTTCTGTCATTTTTTTTTCTAATTTACTTCACAAAACTTAAATTAAATAATGAAAAGTTAATAAACCCCATATTACCAAATCGTGATATTACTCATAAACTTTAGGATGTACCGAAATAGGTATAAATTATTAGGTATAAAAGAAGGCATACTCTAACAATCTATTCATTTTTTTCTTTTTTTCAGATCTGAGTCGGTCGTGGAGAAAATGGTCTCACATTGGCTTTGTATCAATCTCTATTCCCAATGCATCAGGGTGAGCATTCTAAAATTGGTTACGTAGTCATTTACTAGGGTAGTGTCTTTCAAGCTATATAGGGCCCTTGGCACTATATGGTCTACAGGAAGCTTTGTTATCTGTGAAATGAAATTGATTGATTGATTTTATTAGCCTTCGTGTAATATATTCATCTCCGCGTCTCCAAAGACCGTATATATGCGTCCATTGATATCGATATTACCTTTATCACACCCTGTGTTCGCATTAGAACGTCAAAATTCAACTTAAAGATTTCAACTTTACAGCTCTCAATGAAGTATTAAATAATCTGTGCATTGAATACTTTTATTCCTTCCACAGGACCAAGCTGGCAAGCCTTTATTCCTTTTGACCAAAGCAATTCATTTCCTGGTCAACAGCGCCCCAAGTGACGTAGTGGCAAACAAAGCCGTGAACAGTTTAAACGAGATGACACTGCTTGGAACCGAAATTACTTATGAGACAATCGTAAGTTTTTTTTTTTGAATTCAAAACTGTTTCCACACTTGATTCTATGCCTCATATTATCTAGTTCACCCCGAGTATATTCCGTAGAAACAGTGCTCATCCTATCACGTTTCCAATTATTTTGATTCCTGGATTACATTTTTGATTTTTAATTCCCCTATATTTTTTATGAACAAGAGACGCCTCATTTGTTTTTAGTTGGATTTCAACAACCTAGAGCCGGGGTCAAATTTCAAACACCGTCAATTTTAAATATTAACCCAATTTTTATATGCTTACCCTCTCCACTTGCCTGAAGTTTTATATCCATCCTAACCCAAAACGTATCATCAAATCGAACTTGCGTGAAAATTGCTGCTCTATAAGGTTTTTCCTCAATAATGTGCTAAATTGCTCTGTTTTTTATTTATTATCATGCGAACACTGTTTTTTTTTTATTCTGTATAGTGTGAATGCTTTCATGTAGATGTGTCATATCACTGAGATCCCTGTAATCATTTAAACTTTTTATGTATACAAACTTCTTGTATAACTTCACGCTAATTTGATAACAATATTCCTTTTCACTTTCCGCAGACTCTAAAGGCCTCCGTTGTTGACAAAGGTAAACAGTCCGAAGTGTTTGAAGTCAAGGTTGTGAACTGCGACACCATTACTCAAGTCAAGGAAAAGATAATTGAGGTTGTTTACAGGGATCGACCATTCTCTGAGAACCCTACACCAGGTGATATGGAATTGGGTGAGTAGCAGGAATATTTCAATTTTTTAATTTTCCGTCTTTTGCATTCTCATCTTGTTTTGTTTATATGTTGTTCGTTGAACAGCAATGGTTCCCTTGACAGGGGCAGGGCGTATCCGAGGGGATGGGTTTTAAGGGTCGAAACCCCCTTTTTGTGATGTGAAAAAGCATTTTTCAGTATCAAACATAGCAATTTTTCGTATATTGGAATCCTTTTTAAACCCTCAAGATTCTTGAAATTCCACGTTTTTGGGTGAACTCGCTTGGCAATTAGAATTCTCAGTATCCCCTGTTGAAAATTTGATAATTCCACTCCACACCTCTGTCTTGGGGTATTGACTATTAACATCTTCAGATTGCTCGGTGATTGTGCCACGTTGGCCATATTAGGTGGCGCTATTTCAATTTCCTCAAATGTAGTGTCTTTATCCTATCTGATTCAACTGATAGCTTCTAAAAATGGTAACTCACAAAGGACCACATCTTACTTGTCTAGACTTTTACATACAGAGAAGGCCATCAAATGCCGATTAAGACCATATGCCTATTCCTAACCTGCTGCCAATATAGCAACATGTAGATGAGGCCATTCAAATTGCGATTTTAGCCTTTTCCACATCTTGCTTGTCTAGTCTTTTTTAGAGTCCTATTTGTTGTGCAATATGCTTGTGTGATAGCCTTGCTTGGAGTGAAAACATATGGAGTTAAAATTATATTATGTTTTTCTCCAGAACTTGTAGCCGGGCAAGGACATCTCGTGTTATCAGACATCGACAATATGAGCCATGAAGAGGGAACCTACACGCAGATCAATACATTGAAACATTATAATGTAAATTTTCAGAGTTTTCATATTTCAAAAAAGTTTCAGATTTAGATATTCCTTTTCACCGTACAAGAATCAATATATAGCAATAAACGCACATAATAAATAAAAAACTAACATAACACTAAAAAATAAAAACTGAAACACATCGATTCAAAGCAATTGATGAGGGGTCGCGCAATATTTGATGTGTCATCTAGTCAGCGACATCTTGCGGTTTGAATACAAAAGGGCAAGTGCTGAAGATTTGAAAAAAATTTATTCTAAAAAGTACACAAAGACCGCAAAATAGATTTTTTGGAACTGTTTTTCATATCAAAATATGAACCATTACTCATCAATGTATTTCAACAAAAGTTATAGCAGTTCAATAACTAATGTTTTCATCAGTCTCTCAAAACAGTTTTTCCCAAGTTATGCGCTTTTGGGTTGAAGCCTTTTTATTGTGGATGTGAGGAAAGCCAATAAGACGGCTTAATTATATGCCGAGCGCGGTATTTCTGAAATCTAACGAGACTTATCCAGTAGAATTGACAGTCAATTTCATTTGGAACAAATTTGGTACTCTCGTACTATGTGTACCAGGTTAAGGTTAGGCCATAATTTTATTCCGATTTTCCTTATTTTAGTTCCATTACAAGTTTGGGGACTGACTGTATTGGCCAAGTGAATATCCCCCTGTCCATAGGTTTAAGTCCCATTACACAACTTGATATAAAATAGGCTAACGAAATTAGTTACTGGAGCGCCACAAATTTTGTCATTTTTTTATCTGTTATTATATTACAGGTACCAGATGGTGCAGTTGTATTATTAACACCCACGAAAACAGATACAGAAGGAGGTAAATATTCTATTTAGTGTTTGTAATTTAAATATACAAGCTGATCAAGTTCCAGTAGGTGCCCAATATCTCCCACGGGACAGGCAACTTAAAAGCGATTAAAACAATGTATCCATTCCTAACCTGATGTCTATACGGTATTCCAATAGTCCTCTTCAATGAGGTCATTCAAAACATGATTGGAACAATTTACCCATCCATACCCATAACCTTCTATCTATATGGCAGCCAATGACCTTCTACAAAGAAAGCCACATTGCGATTTCGGCCAAATATAATCATCCGTATTCTTCTCCAGTCTGTATGACAGGCCCAATATTGCTTTACAAAGATAGCTATTTAAAAGACGGTTGGAACAAATTATCCATCCTTATCCTTAACCTGGTTCCTATGTAGCCGCCGAATATCTACTACGAAAGAGGCAATTCAAATCGTGACTGCGGCAATATATCCATCCGTATTCCTAACCCGTTATCTGTATGGCAGCCCAAAAAAATCTTCCATGGAAAAGACAGATTAAATTGCAATTTTACCCTATACTCACCCATATCCTTGGCCGGCTGCTTATGTAGCAGTCTAACATCACTCTACAAAGGAGACTGTTCAAATTGTGATTCAGACCATATATCCATCCATATTCCTAACCTGCCATCTATGTTGAAGCCTAATATCCCTCCATGAAGGAGGTCATTTAAACTGCGATTGGTACCACACACCCGACCCTATTCCTGACTTATAGGATTTCCAATATCCTCTACACAGAAAGCCATCCAAAGTACCATTGAGAACACACATCCCCATAGAAATATCCCTCTGCGAATTGGGGGCCATTCAAATTGCGATAGGAACTATATACCCACCTCTATCCCCAACCCCAACCTGCTGCCTGCGTAGCAGCCAAATATTCCTACACAGAAGAGGTCATTCAAACTGCAAGTGGAACCATAAATTTAACCCTATCTCTAAACTGCTGTCTATGCAGCAGCCAAATAGAATTTCGAGTAGGAAAGCCATCCAAATTGCGATTGGGATCATAATATCCATTCCCATTCCTAACCGGCTATCTATATGGCAGCCCAAAAAAGCCCAATATTTCTTACGGAGGAGGCCATTCTATTCTTACCAAAGCACCGACATTTAAAGTTTTGCCTGTCTGGAGAATTTTTCGGAGCAAATTCGCAGACACCCTGTTATTTAATTTCCATTTTCTCCTTCTGACAATATTATTTTTTCTAAAAAAAAAGCGAGGAAGCGAACTTTAACAAGAACATTGAGTGGAGGATTTGAACAATTTCTGGACAGAAATTACAGTTTCAATATGTTCATTATGAAACAAGAAGGTTTAATGCTAGCTGCGCGGCCGCACTTTTTCTTTTTGTTACTAGCTTTGTGATCGCGCTTTTTTAATGCAAGTTCAAGCTACAACAGATTCTTTCCGCCTGTGATTTTTATTTAAAAAATAGCCCGTTTAATTTTGACAGCCGTTATATCCGTTATTAGCGTATAGCCGTTTTGATCATTGCTACTGTTGATATGGGCAAACTACAGCCGGTGGGCCAAATCCAGCCCTTTAGGTAATTCAATCTGGCCCGTCTGATGCTGCCACAACCAAACTAAAATCAAAATTTTGGTGTTTTAGTTGAAAAATTGCAATTAAATTAAGTTTTGGCACGAGGCTTATTGGTTTCAACACTTTTGTAACACTTTGAATATTGTACATAAAATGTAACCTACGCCACACTTGCATGACCCGCAAGTATAGGTGGGCGAAATTTTGGCCTCCGGTACAAAAATCATTGCCCACTCTGTGCTACAGTATCCTTTCAACAAGTACAAAAGAGAAGAGAAAACGGAGAAATAGTTAGTACTGTGGCATATTTGTAAACTAAGTAGCAGTCCAAATACCGGTTTCGCGCTCGCGCTTTTTCTTTATTGCAATCTGAAGCTACAGATGATTATTTCCGCTTGCAATGCTTTGATTATTATTTGCAAAATTATCCCCGTTTAGTTTTTATATAGCGTGATTCAAAGATCTCGGATAACACTTCCATTAATTTTATTTTTGGTTGTGTCGACACACCTGGCAGAAAACTACGTCAGTTAAAGGCAACATTAAATATAATATTAATTAGAGGTGTATGAAAGGTGCTGCCAAAGCATGTGAACCAAGATGACAGACACCAGAACGTAGTATGTGTACCAGGTTGGGGTTAGGCCATAATTTCAGGTACAAATACTATGAAAGTCACTTGGCTAGTCCCCGAACTCGTAATAGAACTAAAATAAGAAAATTTGATTTCAAAATATGGCCTAACCCTAACTTGGTACATATACTACGTTCCGGTGTCTGCCATCTTGGTTCACATACTTCGGGAGTACCCGATAACAAGCATGTCTCGGCGTTAATATCCACCATCGACCTGAATGAATGAACGGAATTATGCTATGTCAAAAACACTAATATGAAGTTTGAAGTTTTTATTTTAAGCCAGCCCATGTTACCACATTCTTTGCATTTACATATTTTTTTCGTTATTTTCAGCTTCAGAGAACGGAAATCCTCCCGCTGCGACTCGAAAGAGAAGACTATATCACTTGGTAAGCTAACGCGACTTTATTTTGGGTGCAGGGCCTGATAACTCCAACGGGGCACTCGGTTCACTTAGGGGTACACGATGCGATATTCTGGGGTACACAAGCACATGATGAATACATTATTTCAAAGTTAAAGGGCTGCGATAATATTGGATTGTAATGCGTTGTGTGCATTACAAGGCGCCATACAACTAAACGACGTGTAGTAAACATCAGCACGGCATTTACACCCAGAACCGCAATGAAAACCTTTGTGCAAGAGACCCTGATCGAAAATCATTGACTTAGACCATCAGGGGTATTCACCATGTTTTGTCGATGGGCCATATAACTAATTTTGTACATCTATCTGGGCCACGCATAAAAAATTTACCTAAAAATGTAAGAAAATAGAATTGGACTATCGCTTGGCATTACTGTAATAAATGCACCAGGCAAAACGGCAAAATATTTAACAGAGCGACAAGAGCAAAAAAACATTATGTATTTATATCTACCTGAGCGCTTTTCAAACATAAACATCGGATCAGGGTTTTATTCTTAATGAGAAAATATCTGAGTGTCGACAAGGGCCATAGTAACTGGTTTGGCTGGCCGGGTTGTGCCCCGCGGGCCGCCTGTTGCACTCCTTGACCTAGACCGTTCAATTCAGATTCACCCACGGGACAAGGAACCAAACGGTTTCATTGAAGAAGACGATTCTGGCAACAAAACAAAAGCTCTGATTGGGAACCTCATCAACCAACCGTTCCAGGAAATTTATCTCACAAGAATGGTCAAGTCCAAGGTACGTAAATGCATAGAAGAAGGTTGACTGGACATTTGAAGCTACTCAATACCATGAACACAGTTATGAGTTAGTGAATCCATATAACAGAAGTCCTTGTAAAATACTTCGTCTAGGACAGTGGTTCTCTCCTCCGTTTAATAGTTTATCAAGTCTCGCGCCCCACCTCAAAAATACCTAGCTAACAATAAGCTACAAATAACAGATAGTAAGGCGGAAGTATGTTTTATTCAAAAAATGCGTTGAAAATACGTGGATGGAACGTAAATAATGAAATAAATGAAAAGTTTTGAAATGTAAATATCCAAAATTAAGCGGGCCAGATCAAAGCTAACGATTATTTTTATTTTCAATTGGCTTCACTCTCCCTCAAAAATTGTCTACGCCCCCTGTTTGTCTGTGGGGCGCGCCAAACAGTTTGAGAACTACTCGTCTAGTGCGTACACCATTAGCTACTGAATGAATTAGAACTCACAGTCACAAGTAGGTCGCTAATTCATCAAGCTACCTTGTTTGCTCTCACCTAACAAATGAAGGAATCTAATAATTTTTAATCGTTTCTCACAGACCACTGTTCAAGAATATGTGGACGGAGTCTTCAATGCAATCCTGAATCCGGATCCGTTATCCAAAGCAGTGAAATATTTTTTCCAATTCTTAGACATGGAAGCAGCAAAACATAAAATCAATGACCCTGAAGTTGTGCATATTTGGAAAACTAACAGGTAATACTCCATTCTTTCATCCACTCTTTCTCTTTTTTCCCTTTTTCTCTCGTTTCTCTCATTTCACTCGTTGTTACTTTATCTCCCGCCTTTCTCTTCTTCTCCCACTCTTCTTTTTTGTAATTCATCATATTTTCTCTAGTTTTGTCACTCTCACTCCTACATTGCTTTCTTCTTCTTTTCGTTTTTCTATTTTAGTTTCTCTCTTGTTTTATGTCTCCCCTCTTTCTCTAATTTCTGCTCTTCCTACTCATTTTGTATATCTTATCATGTCTGTTTTCCTACTTTATTTTCTACTCTTGTATCTGTCTCTTTGTCATTAATCTAAATGATTTCCAGGTTATTCCTAGAACCGTACTCGTTATATATGGATACTGTGCTTAATATTAAAATACATACAAACTCATTATTAGTGAGTCACTCAAAATTTGAATTTTGGGTGTTAATGTTTTATAAAACAATCGAACATTTTGCGGTAATTCAAAGTTACAATTTCTTTTCAAATTTCCAGCTTACTTCTCCGATATTGGGTCAACATTCTCAAGAACCCAGAATTCCTCTTCGACGTAAACAAGACAGCAATTGTGGACAGTTGTTTGAACGTCATCACACAAGCTTTCATGGACGCTTGCACAACGACAAACCATAAACTGGGGCAGGTAGGAACACTGTTTTTATTCGTGTGGTATTTGTAGAAAATCATATATTTTGACATAATTGGGTTCATGAATATGATAATCGCATTTTTTTCGGCGGAAAAAAAGAAAGTCGAGAAGAAGATAGGAACATTCTCTTTATCCGTGTAGATTATTTATCATGTATTTTTGCCTAATCCACAAAAAAAAAATTGAAAGAAAATTTTAGAATTCGTGAAACTTATAGTCGCATTTTCTCTGGGAAGAGAAAACCGATAAGACTTCTCAATTCTCTTCAACTTGTATTCGGATTTCTCGCGCAGTGGTCTTATATAAATTTGTACGATTTTAGCCTTGTAATAAAATAAGAACACTGTTTTTATCCACGTGGGATGTTAATTACATATATTCACATATTCATGAATTTGGAAGTTATATTGTTCACTTCCTCTGGAAAGATGGAAATCTATAAAAAGATAGTCGTAGTTTTCTTGAAAAAAGAAAGCCGATCTCTGGATCTCTTTTCTAAACTGTTCACGTGTTTAGCAAACTTTTTGAATACACGAAAAAGTGTTGGTAGAAGTCTTGCTGTTCGATAGCAAATTTTCCGTTGGTACTTTATTTCCTATTCCATATAGGAACGCTGATTTTATGCGCGTAGTTTATATGTAGCGTTAACCATTCTGTATTTTGCGTTTTCTAATTACTGAAACTATTTATATTCACAGGATTCCCCTTCAAACAAGTTATTATACGCCAAGGATGCGGAGAGATACAGAAAAATGGTCGCAAAGTAAGCATAGTGCTGTAATAACACAGGGTTACCAAACCAAAACACGAGAATATCGGTCAAAGACCGAAGACTTATCGATCGAAAGTTATCACTCCATAGCGACACCGTGTGTCCCATCACTAATTAATCAATAACTCGCTAATTAAACAACATAAATCATCCAAAATCAATAGGCTTCTGTTCCGAGATATGATGAATGCACATGCAAAATTTGGTGCAACCTCGCTTTCGTGAGATATCGTCGGTATCTAACAGACAAACAGACAAACAAACAGACAAAAACCTAACAACATACTTACCGATCGAGATCGATAAGTAATAACTCTCAACATATTCTAGAGTAAAGCATAACGTGTCCTATATAAAACTTTTGGGTACAATCATACACAAACAGAAGTTCAAGTGTTACAAAATTAATTACAATCTTAATTTTTGAAGGGCGAATCAAGAAATTTAGGGGGCAATCACTTTTATACATTTTTTTCAATTATTTTAGTACTATGAATACCGATAAATCATCCACAATTTTACTGATTCCAGCAAACTTAACGTTGTTGCCACTAGGTCTTATCGCGGGACTGACTTTTGTTTTTACTTTAACTATTTGACGGCAGCTTTATAGATTTCAATTCTCAACCCTTTTTGTTCAGATTTTTTGAAAATATTTCTAATGAAGAGGTGACCGGAGAAGAAGAGTTGAATGAATCTTTGAGACAAGTTTCATCTGTAAGTATTTTGGCGGAAATTACTCTAAAAATAGACGTTTCGAAGCAAACAAAAACAAATAGATAAAAACGAAATAGAATTGGGAATTTTGTCCAACTTTTCGCCTGCCTCTTGATACTTGTCCCACTTGTCCGTATTCCGGAACTTTCCATAACCATATTTATATCTCAGGCATACGCAGTGGAATTCAACAAGAGAGCAGCAGCTCAGCAATTGTACAATCATTTGGACAAATATAGATCACAGGTTAGTGAGTCGATTAAAAATTAAACTTATGGGGTTCGATGTCATAGTGCAGGGGTTCTCAAACTTTTGATGTTACGCATAAATGAAGAGCATTCACTTACAAGATCTGCCATGCATCGCCCTAAGTATAGCAATGTCTGGCCATACAGAGTAAAATTGCGAAAACGCCTTGTTAAACGACATTAAGCCATTCTAGTATATAGCAACAGTTGATAAAAGATGTTTTTTTTAAACAGATATACAGATTAAATTAAATTAAATTAAACAGATTAAATAGACGATATACCGGTAAGGTGCAGCCCGCCGTATAAATCAAACGTTTTCTCCTCCACCCCTTTCCGAAATACATGAACCTGATCATCTACTTCCTCAAAATATCATAAAATCTACTTTTTCAATCACAGGTCCAGGAAGCTGTAGAAGATTCCGATAACAGCGGCGTTCTAACAAACAAGTTGAATAACGTTATTATGAAATTATCTCAGGACACGAACGGCCACGCTTACGAAGAAATCGTATCACTCCCTGAATCATCGTCAGCCCCTTTGTATTCGAACGCCTAAATTGTTGACTGCAACAGCTCTAGAGTGACATAAAGCGGATTTGCGCAGCGCCGATGACTGATCTATTGGTGGCGCACTTGAAACTCGAATTTTATATACATTTAACGTAGCAACAACTCTAATTTTATTAATATTTGCCCTTTTTAATGACATGATTTCAAACTTCGGGAAAGATGACTTTAAATATCAGCAAATTCTCCTCCGTTGTAATTTGAAATTTCAATTCTGTATCTCAACTATGGGAATCGATCAACTCATTTCGGAACTTTACTGTTATAGGTATAGTTAATACATATAAATCAACTTCACTTTATTACTTTTCGAAAGATGTTCCCAAGTAATATATTTTTAGGTAAGAAAGGAAGGGGGAGAGAAAAGGGGAATCTGTAGTTTATAATTAGTCATATTTCAATTAATTTTTGTATTGAAACTGGATCCTTACTTCAAGGGAGTAGCCAATGGATGTTGTTTTATACTTGCGTTTTATAATTTAGTAACGGAAATGCATTTCAAAGTAGCGAAAAATTAGATTTTTATCAGGTTTCATTTTAAGTTTACTAAAAACCTCAACACCCACTGAATTAACCGAATGTCAGCTTGTTATGAAATACTTCTGCAATTTATAATAAAAATCTCGCTATTTTTATACATACAAATTTGTCGTAAATTGAAATGCGTCTTACACTTTCAAGGCTTTTTAAAACACCCATGTTTTCCGCTAGCTGATACGCTCATACAAAACAAACAAAAATTCCTGATCACTTTCTTCAAAATTCCTGGCTACGAGAGATCCCACATCTGCCCTGCGATGTCAATATCATTAAAAACTATCTTCAATTTTTAATCGTTTTTATCTTTCTTTGCTTATCTACTGCATTCAATTCTTTCACCATGTATTTTCTACATATTTTATGTAAAATTTGTAAATTTTTTTTGAGAAAAAATTGATGCAATTTTATGTGTTTCCGTGTTCGAATTTTTCAAATTTTTGTGCCTTGAGAATTATGTTCCTTTCAAACTTGGGCCAGAGATATTGGGTAAAAATAATCGACGGTTCAAGCAAGATCGGTGATAATTTTCTATGTTTGAATTTTCATGTTTTTATTAAGTTGTACGAAAAATATAATCAAGGGTTTTTGAGAAAATAAATCACAAATGAACAAATGATGTTTTTTTTTTTTTATAATTTTTTGAAAAAAACGAGTTTTAAAAAATTTACTCCGAGCAAGGTCGCCCGCGCTCACTCAAAAATATAGGAGATTGAGTTCGGAAAGAATTCGACTACTACTAACTCAGAAGTAGAAGAGACGCATCTTTGAGCAACCCCACATCATTTACTTAGAAATGATGGAAGCTCATTTTTAAACAAAGTTACACCACTCACTCGAAATTAATAAAGACGTATCTTTAAGCAAAGGTATGGGCACTTACTCAGAAGTAAAGAAGACTCATCTCTGAGCAAAGTTACGGAGAGCACTCACTTAGAAATAATGGAAACTCATCTCCAAACGGAGTTACACCACTCACACTCACTCTTTGAACGAGGTGACTTCAGCCCCTCGAAGTAAATAAATTCATCTTAACGCAAATCCGCATCACTACCTTATAAATGAAGGAGACTTATTTCTTTGAGCAAAGATATGGGCACTCACTCAAAAATAAAGAAGACTCATTCCTCAACAATGTGCGGAAACTCACTCAGAAGTGAGGGAGACTCATCTCTGAGCAAAGGAGACTGAGCTAATTTAAACAACTCACTCAGACGTAAAATAACTCATCTCTGAACAAAGTGCACTCACTTATATGTAGAGGATAATTCCCCTTTGTTCATCATTCCAGTGGTATTTATAATGTTATTTCGAATGATAGATTCCAAATCAATTCATGTTCAACAAGATAAGATCATGTTGTAAATAACCTTATCAAGCTATGAAATTAGGAAGAACGAGGAGTTTTGTTTGTGAATGGAAAAATAAAATTAGTTTGACGTCCAGCATTGTGCCCCATCTCGTCTTTCTGGGAACCGCTGCCATAAAGCAAGGAAAGGTAGACAATGATAGTTGTATGGAGTGAAATAGCGAAATTGCGCTAACCACACACTGCGCCCTTGAGATCAACTATGAAATTTATAATTTACTGAAATTGAAACGTTCAGTCAAAACAAAGTGGTCGATTTAGTCTCCGATTAAATAATTCAAACCGTCAATTCTTCTCGATAAATGTTTTACACTGTTGTTTTAAACAAGGGGCCAACTGGTTCTTTCTTCAAGCGATATCTTTTTGCCCAAGTTCTTTTGGGCAATCATGGCATGGCGTTCGTGTGTAAATCGGACTTGGTTTTATGGGGACTTGAGGGCTGGTGTACTCGACTCGACTTTTTAGGTAATCATGTAAGTGGGCCAAAGCACTCATTCAATCATTCTTTCAAACACCCACTAGACACGATGTCCAGCAATTACTAGGACACACATCACATGAAAAGCTATGTAGAAGCTGCCATTACATTACCTTCGCACTTGTACCTGCTACCTACTCAGAGTTTAGACGGAGTTTCGAGACCTCGATCATTGGGACATACATCATATAAGAAGCTATGCAGAAGCTGACGTTACAATTTCTTTACACTTGTACCTGCTACCTACTCACAGTTTAGACGAAATTGCGCGATCGCGATCTCGGAGTCATCTGTGAAATTTATAATTTGCTAAAAGCTAAGAAAGCTGAAATTTCTAATTGCCAAGTTAGACCGTACCAGCTAGCGGGTAGGGCTGGGCATTTTCGAATACCTGATGATTTCAGAATCGAATCGAATAATTTTTTTCGAATCGAATCGAGTCTCGAATACTTGGGAGATATAAAATTGTATGTAACTTTCCTATTGTATTAGGTCCTCCAGACACATAAATTACCGAAAACATAGAATACATCACTCAGGCAGATTGCTGAGCGTTCACACACAATAAAAAACACGTTTTCATGAATACGACATATGTCGAAACTGCGTTGAAAAAGTATGACTTCGATAAAAAAAATTGAGAAATTTACCTCGACCATTAGCGGAAAAAAAACAAGATGGCGGCAATTCGAAATTTTGCTCTGAACCGATTCGAATCATTTCATATTCGATTCGATTCGAATATTCGATTCGAAAGGCCCAGCCCTAATAGCGGGTTCGACCGGAGGTCGGTCAATGTGGTTTTTTAAGGGCCTTGAGAATTTTAAATCAATTCGAGCTGCAAAAATTGTTATGTATGATACAGAAAAATGCCCCTTTTTACATTTCAAAAAAGGAGTGGGCCGCCCCCCCCCCCCCTGGCTAATTTTTTAATAAATATTTTTTCGTGGGGGAATAGCTGCTGTATCTACAAACATTTATGGAGAGGTTTAAAATTGCATTTGAGAACGAAAAATAAGCAAAATTTATTTCAACCGGGCCATCGTTGAGGTCTGTGTCGTCTGACCAACTCGAATTATAACGCGACCTCGACCTTGGGGTCAACTTTATAATCTGTTAAAATCAGATATCGTTTTTTTAGTAATCAGGCCGAATCACTGAGAAATTATTTCGAAACGTTATTCTTGACGCTCTTAAACTGGGGCAAAGCACCCATTCATTCATTCTTTCAAACATCTAACCCTCTAGCCACGATAGCCAGCGATCATTACAATATTCATCATATAAAATCTATGCAGAAGCTTAATCACAATTTCCAAAACCAAAAGTGCCAACTCGTCGTTTTAATTTGTTAAAACAGAAATCGTGTTTTCTTTAGTAGTCAGACCGAACCACTGGAATGCGATCCAAATGTCGTTGTTTTTGTTCGCCCACTGAAACTGTGGTTGCACCTGTTTACATATAGCTCATTTAATAAATTCACGCCAAGGCAAGGGGGATGTCAATACTAATCAACGCTTTGTCAGGCAACAGTCGGACCTTTTGTAAGAAGCCCCTGCCAAGACCGACCACCCCCCCCCCCCCCCCCGCCCCTTCCGCGCTATAAAAAAAATCGTAATTATCCAGTAAGGGTTAGAAATGCAGATTGCGCTGGAAATATCTAATCCGAACTCTAACTAGATAACTATTAATTTGTCTTTTAAAACGTTGAGTTGCGTTGTTTGTCTGAAATTTAGCATTCTTGCTAAAGGGACGGGGGCTTTGCACGAAGGATCTTGACAGTATAGATATTTCTAGATATGTATTGAAAGCTGAAATCTATCTTGGTACACTCTGAGTTAGAATGACATAAACTCAGTGGTGGGATTCAGCCGGTTCGCACCGGTTCTATAGAACCGTCTCACCGAATTTTATGAGTGAACCGGTTAGCTTTACTGAACCGGTTGAAAAATATAATTTTCGGATGAAACCGTCTGCCAAAAAATTTGAATTCCTTCAGTGCATGATAGGCTATATACATTGTCTTATATTTTGCTTTTAAAATTCGTCTTTAAAACGGCGTCAAGTAACAATCTAGTGCTTGATACTTCTAGATATTGAGACCGGAATCTCACTTGATTTGGGGAGCGTTGTTTAAATTTATTATATCCGGATTTAAAATGATTCGAGCAGCACATTTATATGTCAAATTACGGTTTCCTGATGCTGTTTATAGTCTATAATTTCCAATTATCCATGAAATCGGTAAATATAACCTATGACACCCGGTAAACGACATCGTTTGTTTAATTTTCTCAATTTTGAAACGTTGTGCAATGTGAATTACTTTTACATCTTTTCACACGTGATAATATTATAAAAGTTAATTGAACATGATTCGAACCCGACATCTGTAAGTCACGATTTTAACATAGCTGGTCCAGGGAGCTTGTATGAAAGTTCCGATATTCCCGAAGTATGTGAACCAAGATGGCGGACACCGGAACATACTATATGTACCAGGTTAGGGTTAGGCCATAATTTCAGGTACAAATACTATGGGAGTCACTTGGCTAGTCACCAAACTCGTAATAGAACTTAAATAAGGAAATATGGAATAAAAATATGGCCTAACCCTAACCTGGTACACACACTACGTTCCGGTGTCCGCCATCTTGGTTCACATACTACGGGAGTCCATATGTATAAGTAACTGCCTATATATGCATATCGTGTTTTCACCAAGTAAAAGACTTTGTTCGGAGCAAAAAGCACGATCAAGCGTCGAATTACTCCTTTGTTAGCAAATTGATGATAATCCCAAGGGATATATTCTGTTCTTTGCAACGATTAATTAAAAAGGATTCTGGGAAGTCATAGCCGGGCGATATATTATAAAATGTTGTCTATAGGTTAGAAAACACTGGCCGACACAAAATATTACACCCTTATAACTTAGTAGTAAGTGAAGGTTTGAATTTCTTCAAAAAAAAAATATCGTCATTTTCAGCGCGCGTTAATAGGGAGGGGGCAACAATCCTAGTCGCAAAACTGATTTTGCTTTCCTCTTTTTAAAAACACTCCCCGTTTTTTAGTAGTTTCATTGGGTCAGCAATGTCAAAACAAGAACGATTTAAAACAATAGAAGCTCTTTGTCAGTTTGTTCAGAACGAAAACCGTACACATACGTCACATATGAACGATAATCGTTGAACAGAAAAACAAATCAAATATATCGGTGTTATTTGAGGCACCGATTTATTTCCACTAAGCCACTTTTGTGATACGTATCGACAAGGGTTTTTAAACTTTTAAGGATTTATGAAAACGTTTATGCGCTGGATTAGAGCACTTGATTGTCGATAAGTCTTTTACAGTCAATTCTTTGATCATGATATGGAAGAGAAATCGTTAAGCGTATAGTTCCGGCTTATGAACTTTTATTATTATTATATTTGTCACTTGGGGAATCAAAAAGTTTCAACATTGAATTTCTCGGGTAATATGAAAATGGAGTTGTGAAAAGTGAATTGGACCGTCATCTACAATGGAAGCTCACTGTTGTACCCAGCCCACCAAATCTGGTGGACCCGTATTGTGTTTACCAGGTTAGGGTTAAAGCATAATTTTATTCCGATTTTCCTTATTTTAGTTCTATTACGAGTTCGGCACTGTCTGTGTTAACCAAGTGAATATACCCGCTGCCCATAGGTTCCAGTCCCTTTACACAACTTCATGCAAGGTGGGCGAACAAAATTAGTTACCTTCATATTGGTACACACACTTCATG